AATAAATTTTAAATTTAAATATAAAATATATATATATATATGAAATTGTATTTATATAATATATGTTATCTAAAGTTGTATATATAAATTTAAATATATTCGAAAATGTATAAAAAGGTATCTGGATAAATTCGAATAGATATATGTGAATATATTCAAAAAATATATCCGAATAAATTCGAATTACACGGATATATACAAATATATTCGAAAAATGTATTCGGATAAATTTGAATACACAAATATATGCAAATATATTTGAAAATGTATCTGGATAAATTCAAATACACGAATATATGCAAATATATTTGAAAATATATTTGGATAAATTTGAATAAACAAATATATGCGAATATATTTACATATTTATTTGAATAAATTCAAATATTTAATGTGGATAAATACATGGGTGGTCAAATATATTCGGATATATTCAGTTCAAATATATCCAGATATATTTAATTCAAATATATTCAAATATATTCAGTTCAAATATATCTGAATATATTCAGTTCAAATATTCAGTTCAAATATATTCGAATATATTTGTTATTAAAAATTTCCTGATATAGGAATGTTCCACAACTTAACTCCATGCATGAGGTTTTTCTCAGGATTCCTTTTAAAAATTTGTGCCCTATACATGTAAGTAGGCTGTTCTGCATCATCACTCACATTGACTTTGTTATCTTTTTTTATTTCTTCTTTATTGTCATAATATGCAGAGATCATTCTATTGTTTTCAAAATTTTCCATTTTAACTAGAACAACCTTGATTTCTTTTTTCAATATTTTTTTTAATTTTATCAAGTTTTTCAATAATATTTTTACCAAAAATTTTATGTGCAAAGGTTCAAATTTTATATTTGGATGCACCAAGTATCTTTTTCCAAGTTGATTGATAATCATCTTCTGAGTTATAAGATGCAATAGACTTATTATCCTCTTCTTCATTTGATTTTTTACCAATAACAGATTTCTCAGCATATTTGCCTTTATGTTTTTTCACTTCTTTTCATTCATTTTCCTTATTCTTCTTTGAATTTTTAACTATATCCTGGTTTTTTTTGAATTTCAGAACTTCTAGTATCTGTTTCTGCTTCCATATCTATTTGTTGTTTGTACACTTCTAATTCATATGTTGACATTTCTCTGTTCAAGATAACAACTTAAGAGGTTGGTTTGTTTCCTGGTACTACAATGGTACTTGTTTCTATGGTTTTTTCTATCAATTTGCTAGTCATTTTCTTTCTTGAAGAGTTATCTTTATTACCAAGGGAATTAAATTTTCCAACTTCTATATTTGCACTTTTGGGAGTAGTGCCATAATCTACACCTGTTCTCCTTGACCTTGTAAATGAGCTTCTGTTCATGTTTAAACATGAATTTTAAATAAAATAAAAATAAAACAATTTTGATAGAATATTACTGCATATTTTAAAGTAATGAGTAATTTGGGAAAGAGTTTTTTTTTTTTTTTTTACAAGTATTATATAAATCATGTCTTCCATTTTTCAATAAATTTTATAATAAAGATAACAGTATTGTTATACTTATTCCAATATCCTAATCCAGTATATCTGATCTACATTTGTATCACAAGTATTGGATATACCTAATCCGTGATGGAAATTATAATAATTGAAAGATTATTCTTTTAATATATGATAATCAAAAAAATTTTGAAATTTGAAATCTGAACTTTCTAGAAAAATGGCAGACTCTAGTAACATAAAAGAGAAAGAAGATAAACTTGCAAATGCAAAAATCGAAAAGGATAAAGGAAACGAATATTTTAAAGCAGGAGATATAAATAATGGTTAGCCTTTTTTTTTGTTCTTCACGTCATGTTTTTCATTATTTTCGTTAAAATTTTAAATTTTAACAACTTAACATTAAATTATTTAGCTTTACGTCACTATTATATTGTAACTATTTTTAAAAGTATTATTGTTTTTTCACGCGTTTTCAAATATTTGTCTTAACTTTATTGTTTTCATATTTCTTTATAGTCTTTGCTTAATTTGAATGGACTTGAAAATGACAAGTCATTTGCGATTTTCAGAAAAGAACAGGAAGAAGAACCTAAAAAGGATCCTTTACATGAAGATATCACAAAAACTACAAGTGTTATATACAGTAATATGGCTGGTGAGTAAAAAATATTTGAAAGGATTTTATTTTATTTTATTTTTTTTTTGGTTTTATATATTTAATTTATTTAATTGATCAACTAAAATCTTTTACCTAAATTTGAATGAAAAGCATGTCATATCAAAAAAGAAAAGTGGAGCAAAGCAATTGAACGTGCGGATGAAGTAATGATATCTCATATAAATTTATGCCGTCACTTGGCTAAAAATAATATTAATGCAAAAGTCGTGTATAATAATAATAATAATAATAATAATAATGACAATAAAAAATATGGAATTCAAAATATCAAATGTATATAATAGGCTTTGAAAAAAGATCCTGAAAACACCAAAGCTTTATTTCGTCGCGCACAGGCGTTAATCAAAGATGGAAATACAACCAAAGCACGAGAAGACTTGACAAAATTGACAGCAAAAGATCCCGACGGTAAGAATGATTTATTTTTGACACAAATTTTATATTGTAAGAAAATATATATCATTTGATTTTCAATATAATAGATGGGGCAATAAAACGGGAATGGCAATTGCTCAAAGCAAAAGAGAAAGAACAAGAGAGAAAACAACGTAAAGAATTGGCGGGAATGTTTGATCGAATGAAAAGAGAAGATGAAAAAGAAGAAAGATCCAAAAAGCAGCAACAGCAAAAAGTTGAACAAGAACAAAAAATTTCAGAGATTAAAGATGACGAACCAAAAATTTCAGAGATTAAAGATGATGAACCAAAAATTACAGAGATTAAAGATGATGAACCAAAAATTACAGAGATTAAAGATGATGAACCAAAAATTTCAGAGATTAAAGATGAATGAAAATTATAACTTCATTTATAGTCAATACATTTAAACTTGCAGATGATTGTTTTAGAGCATTTATTTTTTAATTTTTTTTTTTTTTTACTGTAAACATTAATAACCACATAATTGTATATTTAGTTATTTAGTTCGAGAGCTTTTTATTCTTATTTGTACTTAAACTATGTTCAAGGTGTTCAAGTTGAAATGAATTTAAATCATTCTTAATAAATGAAGTTCTCTAAACAACCATCAGTGATTAAAGATGATCTCAATATTTTGTTAGTTTTTTTTCAATACTGAATATGTTCTCATTATGCTAATTATATCAGTAAAGCATTTTGAAATTAATAACACAGACATGTTAACTTTTATCCAATTTTAAGTTCTTTTCTTGGAAGATTTTACCTTTTGAATTTTATTTATTTTATTATTAGCCTCTCCCATTTTGCGGTTTGTTTCATCAATAAGGTCCATTCTATATAAAATTTAATGATAAATAACCAAAAAAAAAACTCAATATTTCAAAAAAATATATATATATATAAAAGTCATTCTTACTCTTTAGCTAAAGCTTCTTCAACTTTATGTAATTGACTTCCACTAAGAAAAACAAATTTCCTTGATTTTTTTGAAGGATTTCGAGGAGAAAGAAGGTGATAATCATCTTTAAGAGTTTTGTGATATGCATCCAACTACGGAATGAATAGAATAAATTATAAACATTAAACTGATAAATATCCAAAAACAATATCAAACAATATCATTATGATGATGATAATAATAATAATAGAAACCTTCTTTATTTTTACTTTCAATCCATTCTCTCCTTCAATTTCTTGATTTATTCTCGCCAATGTTTGACAATATGATTTCTCAAATTCGCCTCTTATTGGATCACCCAAATACAATAATTTTTGAATGTAAGTATAAGCTCTACTTTCAAGTTTACTTTGCCTTTCCTTTAATCTTTGCATACGACTAGAAATTTCTGGAAATCGATTAAATCTAAATTCATCTAAATTCTTTTTAAGTTTATAAATTTCTTGGATTTGATGTTGAAATTCGGTTGTTTGTTGTTTAAATCTTCAAATATGAAATTTTGTGTCAAATTTATGATCATAGTTATCATAAATTATCATAAAAAAAAAATTTTTTTTTTTTCTTCTATAATTTTCTTTTCTCACAAACCTTCGACTTATCTCATCTGTTTCTAACCAATATTCATTTCCTTCCCGTTCAATAAGATCCAATATAGTAGAAAGACATTTATAATCAACCTCACCAATTGTGGAGGATCCAGTGGAAGATCCAACCTTATTTTGATTAAACATAAGTATTGGTTGATGTGAAAGACCATGATGATTCATAACCTTTTCCAAAAAATTAGGATCTAACGGTTTATAAGATGATTTATTTGAATAATATATATCGTTCATTCGAATTCCATTATTAGACACCAATGACTTTCTTATGGCCAGCTCGTGACAAACAAGTCGAAGAGAGGAAGTAAGTAATAAGATTGAATAGGATAATTCAGCTTCATTACTTATTACTATCATTCCAACGAGAGGATCTGGATCACTAAAGTAAAGAGAATTATTATCATTTCTTTAAAGAAGGATCGACACCATATTAAAAATATTTTATACCTCGGAAGTGAACTAGCAATCCAGTTAACATCAGATCTTTTCTTCTTTTCTAAAAATGTTTCTAGTAACTTTTCATCATCAACATCTTTCATTGCATTTCCTAAATCATTTAACCATCCTTTAAGAATAATACCATGAGCACCTGCAAAATGATAGACATAAAATATGTCCGGGTATACAGGATCATTAAGTAAAGAAGGATGATTCATTGAATTTGTTATTCGTTGACTACGCCATGAAGTTGGAATAACGAAATCTTTTGTGAACCCTAAATCAATACACTCATATAATATTAATATTGGATGATCTATTTCCACAGAATCCTTAAAAAATTAAATTAATACATTATTATTTACTTTAGATATATTTTAGATAAAAAAAAAATGCAATAAATAAATAAATAAATGAATAAATAAATAAATAAAACTAGGAATAAAAAAAAATATAAAATTTATAATCGAAATATTATTAAATCTTATTAAAAATATTATCTTAAATAAATATACCTGCCACAATGCTTCAACTTTATCAACTTCCAAACAAATGTCAACTCGTCCATTATTATGTGCTATCACGATTACGCTGAGTGGTTCTGTCGCCAAACAAAGTATATCGCTAGCATCAGTTGGATGTGTTGACAATTCTACTGGTTCTGGTTGTATCAAATATGGACCTTGTAATTTCGGTTTTTTTCTTCTGGTAGATAATGGATTATTATATATGACCTTATCTGAATCTGTAGTAATTTGTTTATAAATAGATGACACCCAATCAAGTTGTTGTCGATATTGATTAAGTAAACTGTGATAATTGGATTCTTTTGATATTGATATTCTTTCAGTTTCTTCAAATTTTTTTTGTACAATATATGCAAGTTGATCCAAAAAAAATTTGTGAAATACGCTAAAAATTAGATGAATTAGAAAAATTACATAAATTAGAAAAATTAGAAAAATTAAGATAATATAATAAATAAAGATAATATAATAAATAAAGATAATATAATAAATTAATATTTTATATACCATTTTTGAGGTATAATAGGACACATTGAATAAACATCACCATTATCTAATAAAACATAGACCACAAGTTTACCCCAACCTTCTTGACTTTGACCAAAACAAAATGAAATTGCTTTGGTATCTTCAGTACTAAATGAAACATCTTGATCTTGATTTGAATTCTGAGAAAAAAAAAATTGTTGTTCTGGTTCACTGAGGTTTTGAAAAACATCATACATTCTGAAAATAATAATAATAATCAATTATAAATCAAATTAAATATTTATAACATTTATATCATTTATATTCAAAAAGAGATAAAGAATGTAATACCTTAAAATCATATCTTCAGTTAAAACCATTAAGTGAGATCCATTATAACTTAAAGGATGCCATAAAACTTTAGCTATTGGACTAGTACCAATAACATGATAAAATTGACCAACATTATAAACCCTATAAAATATTTAATTTATTTAAAATATTAAAAATTAAAATTAAAATCTGACAATATTTAATAATGTCAGTAATCGGATTTAATTTAATAACTTTCCTGCAAGGACATTTTCCATTTTTAGTTTCATAACGAGGTCTTGTAATGACTACCACTGCCACTTGGTAATCACCAGTCACAGCAATTAATGAACCAATATCTTCGAAATTAAAAGTAATTGATCGAATTACAAATTTAATAGATGGTGTATCAAGTACAACATATTTGGTATTATTTATCCATTCTGGTATAACTCCATCATTAAAAAGGTCATTTAAGGCTAATTCATCTTCGAAATGTGCTTTTGACCATGCATTCTTAAAGTCAGCTAAATCTAACATTCTTAATTCAGAACCAATAGCTACTACAAGGTGTTTATTATCTATTAAAGCCATTAATGATTGTTTCCTATATGGATCATCTAAGTTTAGTGCTAGAACTAGAGGATTTATTTAATTAAATAATGAGTAAATTATATAATATACTATTTATTAACGCGATGTTTTGACTTACATTTGTCCGTTAACTGATCGGACTTAAAGATTGGATGATAGGGAAGTAGATCCAACCAATTTGAAGCAATTTCGTCATCTTCATAAATATCACTCATTATTATATTCGTATATTAAAAAGTATTTTTTAAAAAAAAAAAGTATTAAAAGTATTAAAAGTATTTAAAAAGTAAAGTTATTATTTAGCTATTCGAAATATTTTTCCGCAATGATCTTCCGATCGATAAAAATAGTATAAATAGTTAATAAAATGTAAATCGAATAAACCAAAAATGGCATCCAAACCTTTGATCTCCTCCTCCAAAAATTTACTTCCTCCTTTAATTTTATATCGCAAAATTCTCAGAGTTCATCGTTATTTACCACCCTCACTTCGTTCTCTAGGTGACGATTATGTAAAATCCGAGTTTAGACGACATAAAGACATAACAAATCCTCTTCATATTATAGGATTTTTAAATCAATGGCAAGTTTATTTAAAAGATATAAAACAACAAGTTGTTAATTCAACTTTAAGTAAAGAGGTTAAATTCGGAAAAAAGATTGAAACAGATGTTCTAGAGAAATTTAGTGAACAACAAGTTGGACAATTATATGCATTAAGAAATGAAACGAAGTCGGTAATTAAGTAGACCAAGCGAAATAACAATAGAATATAATTAAAATATACAAATGGTGTTTGAAAATTCAAATTTTAATTCCTATGCAAAAAATTGTGCGGATGCCTTTTTTTTTTATGTGCGGAGATTTCAAATTTTGTGCTAACGCATATTCCGCACATTGAATTTCAAACACTGAATGTAGCATTATGTGAATATAACTATAAAAGACTATTAAAAAAAAATGTAAGCACCACAATTAATATATAATAAAGACACAAAGAAAATAAATTTATTAATAAAATTCTTTTAATTCTTTGATATAAAAGAATCCCCAAGAAGATCACCAAATAAAATAATAATAAAAAAAAATAATAATAATAATAATAAAAGTAAAATAGCATCAATTCTTAGAGTATAGACAACGATAATTGATGATAATGGTGTGAAGATATAGAAAAATTAATAAAAATACGTAAATATTTAAACAATACAATATTCTTTTGGCTGCGTATAAAATTTTGTCCGAATTATTTACGTTAAGAAGGTTTCTTTTCTGTAGCTTTCTATTAATCAAATTTATTATAATTATTCAATATAAAAAATTGTAAAATTATTAAAATAAAATAATTTTAAATATTTTAATAAATAATAATTTTAAAAAATAAAATTTCAAACACTTTACCTGTTGCTTTTGTCTCATGATTTCAGCATCACTGATAAACCATTGGGAATTATTGAATTATTATTGGAATTAATTTAAAAAATTAGTAAATTAATTTTTGTGTCAAAATTGATCAAAAAAATTATATAAACATACGAAAAGTTTTGTCTTTAGTATTTTTCCTTTTATAAAATATCTCCTATTTACACTAATACTTCTCTTTTTTTATGAAAGGGAAGCAAATGTAGCAACAAGAGAACAAAAGGCATACGCCCGAAGATAACAATAACAACAACAATAACAACAACAATAACAAACAACAATATAATAATAACAACAATAATAACAACAATAATAAATAAAAATAATGATAATGGAACGTATTTTCGTTAAAAGTTATTTAGCACATACTTTTCTGCACGTTTTTTGAATGCTGTTGGGTCTTCTTTTTTGGATTTGCTGTTTTGTTGTTGTTTCTTTAGATTCTTCTCGCGAGCTTTTTCTCTTTGATTGCCACCTGAGCACAAAATTATTATAAATTCCAATTGAAATTGAATTTAAAAAAGTATGAAATCAATAAAATTTAATTATAATAATTATAATTATTATACGTACGAGCCATTTTTAAGTGTTGATTGAGAAATGATGGAGAATACAAATGTGGTCCTCCCTTATATGGCTTTATAAAAATTTTCTAACCGCAGCTTTTGGTACTTTTAAAAATAATTTCCGAAATATTCCGCAGATATATATTTATATTTCAACGTGTCTATCTTTTAGAAATTTATATCGTTTACAAAATATGGCCCTACCGAAAAGAATCATTAAGGTATTTCTCGAATTTTTATGTTATACAGAATGTAATAATTTACAATTGACCTTTTTACATTTTTTTTTTTTTTCGAACTAATATATTTAACAAAACTTTAATTATACTTAACAAATATGGAAAATTTTCATTTAGGAAACAGAACGTTTATTACAAGAACCAGCACCTGGCATCAGTGCTACACCTCATGAGGAAAATCTTCGTTACTTTGACGTAATTATTGCTGGGCCAAGTCAGTCACCTTTTGAAGGTAAGTTTTCTTCTATATAAATATAATTTATTTATTCAAAATTCATGGATCAACAACATTTCATAAAATGTAATAATATTAATTATATCTATAATCAGGTGGTGTTTTCAAGCTTGAATTGTTTCTTCCGGAAGAGTATCCAATGGCACCACCAAAAGTTCGTTTTTTGACTAAAATATATCATCCGAACATTGATAAACTTGGTAGAATTTGTTTGGATATTTTAAAAGGTTGGTAAATCTCTCAAATAATGTTGTCGTTTGAATTAAATCTTTAATAATGAACATAATAATAATAATTTAATTTAATTTATTTATTCTTATCATTTAGATAAATGGTCACCAGCTCTCCAAATTCGTACAGTACTTCTTTCGATACAAGCTCTTTTGTCAGCGCCAAACCCAGATGATCCACTAGCAAATGATGTAGCACAACATTGGAAAGAGAATGAAAAGGCTGCCATCGCTACAGGTATTTTTTTTTCTTCTTAGACATAAATTATATGAATTAATAATATTATTATTAATTTAAATAATAACTAAAAATTTTTATCTTACATAAATAAATAAATTTAAATATAAATAGCTCGGGAATGGACTCGAAATTTTGCTCAAGGCTAAATATATATATCTTTTTTTTTTTTTACATTTTGTCTAATTTCAATATTAATTATTTTCAATTTTATTTCGGATTATCTTATTAATGTCACGAAAGTTAGATTCGTTAAATTCTTAATAGAGTTCACTTATCTTATTCATTTCCCTTGAACATTGTTCAATTTGAGGTCCAGAAGGTTTTTTAAATAGTGATAGAGACAATTATTTACGGCCTCAAGAAAACCATAATAATTGGTTTATTTTTATTTTTATTTGATATCAATAATTTTTAATAAATTGATTCGCTGTAATAATGAATACTTCTATTTTACCTTCTTTATATTTTAATTAATTAATTTATTTATTTATTTAATTAAAGAAAATTAATGATAATCTATTTACAATACCAAAAAAAATTAAATATACATTATTACTAAAATAAATTGTAAATAATTTTTATTATATAAAAAAACAATTATTTCATATTTTTCTTATTGTTCTAAAGCTATTTGTAACTTTTCTATTAATTTTTTATTTTCCTGAGGTGTTCCGACAGTAATTCTAAGACAACCCTCACATCCAAATTCATTACCTCTAAATCTAACTACAATACCGAGGTTCTCGGCCAAATTTTTATAAGTTAAATACGCACGTTCATTATTAGGTTTTTTTCCTTTCTTGTCTAAAATCTGTACAATAATAAAATTAGCATCATTCCCACCAAGAAATTTACCAATACCTGATAAATTTTTAAGGGATGACATAAGTTTGATTTGTTCTGCGCGAATTTGTTGACAAATTGACCTCATCATTTCAATATTTTCAGGAGATAAAGCTTTAAAAACAATTTCAGAAGTTAAAGAATTGATATTATAAGGTGCCTTTGTATTATTCATCAATCGAATAATTTTTGGATCCGATATACCGATACCAAGTCTATAATAATAATAATATAAAATTAATATTAAGATATTAATTAATGATTATTAAATTTTATTAATATGTTTTTACCTAACTCCCGCCAATCCAAAACTTTTACTCAATGTTTGCATAACTATTAAATTTGGATATTTTTCTACCCATTTAGCAACACTTGCTTCCTTTTTCTCTTCTACAAAATCGATGTAAGCCTCATCAACCACAACGATACCATTAAAACATGGATCATTCAAAATAGTTTCGATATCTTTGAGAGATAAAATAGTTCCGGTTGGATTTCCTGGAGAACAAAGAAAAATAATCTTTACTGTCGGATTTTCTAATAATACTTTGGAAATCTAGAATTTATTTATTTTTAATGAAAAAAAAAAAAATAGTTTAATCAATTTGTAAAAATTAGATTCAAGATTTAATTTAAAAAATTTTTAAATTCCTACTTCTTCAGTTTTTAATTGAAATTTACCATCTTCAACATCAAGATTTACTCTAACAATTTCAACATCATTAATATTTGCACAAACTGTGTACATTCCATATGTAGGTGGTGTAATCAATATTTTATCTTTTCCGGGAACACAGAAAATTCTAATAACCAAATCTATAATTTCATCTGATCCCACTCCTAAAAAAAAGTAATCAATGGAAGGCAAGCCACGGAAGGAAACGAGTCTTTCCTTTATAAGAATTTGATCTGGGTCGGGATATCTATTAAGGTTTAACTCTCCGGTTAACAACTCCTCATTTTGCAAAATTGTTCCAAATGAATTTTCATTTGCATCGAGAAGAATTCCTGAAGAATAATCGTCTCTTGCACATACGTATGGTTTAAGTTTAAGAATATTCGGTCGAACAATTGAATCTAACGAAAACGGATTATTCATTATCAGTCTCGTTAAAAGCAAAAAATGATTTTCAAAGTTGAACGAAAAAAAAAAAATGAATTACTCACATCATTTTTTATAATTAAAAAATCTGTACCACCATAAACAAGAAAATTCTAAACTTTATTTCAATTTTGTATACCCAATTGATAAATTTATATATAATTAAAAAATCCAAAACGTGTAAATCATTTCCGTTATAAAAAACGAAATTGACCGTCAAAGGGAACAAATTGCAAAGCGCATCTCAACTTTCGACTCTAATAAATTTCCTTTTTTTTCCAAAAAGGTGCGATTTTCCTTTAAATATTTATTATTTATAAACTAGTCGAAGAGTATTTATTTAATTAGTAAATCCAGCATAGCCCACTAGGAGACCAATCAATGTCCTCACCACTTTTTGAAACAGCTCATCCCTATATCTTTCTGTACATGTAAGCGACAGACTTCTTTTAGCACACTCTTCTATAAATTTTCACCCAATGCATACCTATTAAAAGGACAGTTTCAGAAGAACTTCAAGTCGAAAGAATGTGACCACACTTTTTGCTTTTTGGTGAATATCCGTCACCTCGAGAGATGATGAAAATTCCAACGGTATTATGCGTCAAAAACCTAAAAGGGAATGTAAATAAATTCAAGAAATTACCAGCTTACCCATGCGCCGTTGTTACCTGTGAATGCATTATGAAACAAGTTCAAATAAGTAATTTGTTATTGTTACAAAGATTAAATATTTAGTAGCCGACCGCCAAATACTTCATCCATGCCTCCTATTCACCACGGTTCTTGTTCGTAACATACAGTACATAACATATAAATAATATTGACGTTCAAAAGATAAGACGTATAGAAAAGGACGTTCACCACAGGTCTTCGGCTTGTAACCTGTAATGGCTTCCAGTTTTCTATTGTCTTACCCAGCTCTCTCCTTACTACCTCTCCATTTCTTTATTACTTTATTACCCCCGTGGCAGCGTAACTTCAGAAACATATAACTAACAAATTATTTAGTGAGGTTGCTCACCTATGGCAGACTCCAATTCTTAAATCCTCCGTTACTCTAGTAATTCACTCAAAAGATGATAGAAGAGATACCATAATGAAATGTAGTAAACCAGTGAAAAAAAAAGAAAGGACTTCCTTAAATAATTCAACTGACTGATCATAAAATAAACAAGTAAATAAATGACGCGAAACACAAATGTGTATCATATAAAAATTTAAATCAAACGCGTAAATTAACAAAACGTAAATTTGATGACAATTAAATATTGAATCTAATTTTTTTAATAAAACTTATGATCCGGATCCGATTTGGAGACCCGAATTGGATCATCCGGATTGAACCGACCTGGTAAGATCATCAATTGTGACTAGTATAAAATGAAATGATATTATTAACTAGTTATCAATGAACAAAGCAAACTATTAGGCAATTAAAATTAAGAAATTGCATGATAATATATATATATTTGACCAGTTGACATGTATAAAAGACTCAGCTTGTAAAGAGCTTTACATAATACATTGAAAGGTTTATAATTAAATAAAACATATATATTTGAATATTTTAAAATTTATATTTACAAATAACTAAATAAATATAGTTTTAAATATCAATAATATCCTCTCTTAAATCCAATCCAAAGAATTTTAATTGATTTACTCTTTCACCAATTATTAAATTATTAATCTCCACAAAACATTCTGGAAACATAATTAAATTATTTAAATCTTTTCCAAAATTTTTTGAAGTATATTTCAACCAATCAATAATAATTTCTTCCTTTGCACTTTTGATAATTGCTTTTGATATTTCAACCCTTTTTTTATATGTGTTATCTTTATTTTTGGAATTATCTGATTCCTTGGACTTGGTCCAAAAAACAAACCCATTTAAATGATGTATAACCATCCAATACAGAAAAGGAGTTTTCTTCCTTGTTACTTTGTTATAAAGAATAGAGTTTACAAAAGATTGTAATATTGCTGTATTTGACTCTATAGGCCAAAAGTATGAATTCAATGTGGAATTAATGCATAACACATCTTCATATCCAATGTTAATTGTACCTAAAACATTGTGTAAATCACTCCAAACAAGAAGCTTGAAATCAGCAGGATAAAGGGATGATAAAGGCATTATAGTCAATTGAACAAAAGATTTGTTTCCAGCTGATTCAGCAATGTAGACCCCTATGAAATCAGAGAAAAATTGATAAAACGGTATTTTAAGAACCTCCTTTGCAACCAATTCTAGTGATTTTTGTTCAATAACACCATCCATTAATATTGAATTAATATTTAATTGGCTAAAAGTAAATTGTGAAAGAATTTTTTCAATCAATATTTTATTTTCAGGAACATTATATAATTCACCTTCTAACATGAAGATTTTCATGATGGATATTATTGTTATTGCAGGATCCATGATATACTTAACAAAAGTTGGATTCATTGAATCATTACAGATTTGTATTGAATCCCATGCAAAAATTAAGCAATTATAAATGATTTCGACTTTTCTTTCTTGATCCATCCCTGATTTAAACTTATTAATAAATAAAATGTCTATAGGTGACCATATCCATCCTCTTGATAAAGGTAAACCAGTTAAATCATTGCTATAATCCCACATTAAAGTTTTATCAATTTTATCATTTTGAGATCCTGAAAATGAATACGTCTCTTGTTTATCGGGAATTTTCATTTTTTCTATTTTTATCAAATGTTTGTAAAATGGTTCTAGAACATCCGATGCTTTTGGACATATCATTAATATGGATTTAATTATATCTAAAGCCATTGATTCATCTCCGGGCAATATATTACAAACGGATATAAATTCTGCTTTCAGAAGTACTAAGGAAGAGGAATTACGGATTAAAAATTTAAATGTATTTACCCATTCATATAGCAAATAAATACGGGTTCTATCAAAGAAAGCAAACCAATTTGCTTTTACGGGATTTTTTATGATATATAATTGTAAAATTTCTATCGAGAAACTTGACTTTACAACTTCTGATGCTTTGGATAAAAATGATATGTCATGCACATTTAATTCACATGTTTGATGAATCAATGAAATGAATGATAAAAATGTATCAAAAATTACTGATAAATTAAAGTATGAAGCGAAATTCTCATATTTTGATGGACAATCAGCTCCTGAAAAATTTGTTATCTTCCAAATATTGTTCTTTTGAATTACTTCATTTGTAAAGTTTGTCAATTGATTTTGCAAAAAAATACAAAGATTAGAAGAATGCCAATGTTCCATATTTAATATTTTCCAAAGTCTTTGAATTTCACTAATATCCTTTAGAGAATTATCTTTTAAATATTTACACCAAGAAGAGATGAATCTTGTAATACTTGATATTAGATTTAACGCTGTCATTACATATTCTTCCGTTATATTTTTTGAAGTAAGATTGATTGGAAACGATGATATCCATCTTGCAAGAAAATCAATGGAATCTTTAATAAAATCACTTGGTTGTGCCTCTGGCTCTTGAATATTATGAGTTTCTTTATTATTATGATTATTCATCCAAATTTCAAATAATCCAAAGAATAAAATAGCAATTGACAGCTTCTGTTGATTATGATAAATTTCATTATCATCCCATTCCCATGGTGGGGAAAGCGAAAATATAATTTCTTTAATTATATATTTATTTATGACAGAATATGCATGCGAAAAGATTTCACGATATAATCCATATGCAGCGAGAGTATGATAAATTCGTAAAGTTTCCTTAAGAATTTCATAACCTATAATCATTTCCGATTTTTCCGATAGGGAAGCTGGATTAATTACAATATATCTAAGGAATGAGTCAATATATTTGGTTATCATTTCATCACTAATTTTCTTTGAAGTTTGACATAATGTACGAATTAGTTTTGCAGCGGCCAAACTGGGAAATTTTAATGTGGATGAATTATTTTCTGTGCGTAATATTGGCCAAGGCAATGATATAAATTTTTCATGTATAATGTCCAACAGCCGAGGACAGTCATAAATGATTTTTGCAGATTTATGTGAATGACGGGCAAAATAAACGAGCGTAAGAAGAATTTGTTCATTCGCGATCGGAGGTAATTCATAAACTTGTAATAAATAACGAAATCGATGTGTAATGTCCATTGAAATGAACCCTGCAACTAAATCTTTTGAGGCAAGTTTGTTATGACCCTCTATTGTATCTAAAGATTCTTCGTTGAAATCATTTGATGAAATATCCATTCCAAAATGAGTTTCTATTGGATTATCGGGATTCATCTTAAGAGCAACCACTTCATATCCACGATATAACTTGAATAAATTCTCCCAATATTCTTCCTCCTCATTAAACCCTTCCGAACCTCCAATAGTCAAAGCAGCGATTGCATCTATAGCAGCAACAATTACTGATTCAAAACTGTCATCCAATGCAGATCTCAAATAAACTGGTAATTTCATTCTCATTATGTATTCCGCAATTCCTTCATTATTTTCTTTACCATAAACACCTTTACGAACCTTTTTAACAATACGTCCTAAAATATTTAGAGGAATAATTTTTTGACTTGGAACGGTGCTTCTTGTTAAGTGAAGTAATTCTGAAATTGTATATCCAGCCTGATCTGGATCTTTTCCGTGATGATGAAGTCCCAAATAAGAGGGAATATTAGAATTCTTATCTACAATATTTCCATTGAAATCGAATCTGAGGGATGCTGTCGGTGATTCCGAAGGAATACCAATTGATTCGAAATTGGATCGATCTGATTCATTATTATATTTAATTCCCATCCATTCCATCTTTTGGGGTTCAGCAGGAACGTCAGGAAAATATTTTTCTTTCATTTTATCTAGTGAAGAATAATCTTCAATATAATCAAATTCCGTATCCATACTTTGAACCTTCTCTTCAAATCGCACATGCTTTTCATTATTATCATTATCATTATATTGATTTATTATGTTTTCGTTTGATTCTTCTAATTTTTCTACTAGAGATTTTTTCTTCATGAGTTTTTCTATAAAACCTGGACTCAAAGACTTGCGTAACATTTCTACAGTCTCATTAATCTCAGTTTCAGACATCTTTGCAATTTTCTCATTGTTTTCACGGTCAATATCTAAATAATCACTATTAAAAATTCTTGTATCTTCATCTTTTTTCTTCACATCAAACTTATCAAATTTAGTAAATTTGTTTTCATTGATATCAATTTCCATTTTTTTCATTTCTTTTGACTCTTGATCTTTTCTTTGCTTAAATAAACTTCGATGAACTGGCTTTGGAAACCCATTATTTGAAATAATTGTGGGCATTGGAGCTGTCACAGCAGATTCATTAGTCAAATTTTCAGTGATTTTACCCACAATTCCAGTTTGATATGAACGTAAGTCCAAAACTTTTTTTATTACCGGAACATGTTCGGTATCGTGGGAATTTTCAAGATTTAATTCAAATCGTTTCCCGGGAGTACTATCAAAATCATTTTTCGATGATTCACGACTTCTAGACATAACATAAGAATGTTTACGTAACCAGTTAATTACCACTGTCCACATAAGTGATTTACGTAACACACTTTAATCATTAATTTCTTGGTTCGAAAATTGTGATGGATAATTTATGAATTTATGATGGATAATTTAGAAGGTAAGTTTTTAAAAAATATTCATTAATAAATCGAATAACATTTTTATGAATATTTTTTTCTTGTAATAAAATTTAGTAAATTATATTTGTTGAAATAAAGTTAACAATTTGTTAATTCTCATTTTATAGAATCTAATAATGGTCCAGGGAGCAAAGAGAGCAAAGTTGATAATAAAATTGAATCTAATGAGTCGATTTTTTTTGAGGACCCTTTGGAAGTTACAAGTGGGGAATATGAAACAACTTCTAGTTTGAAAAAGATCACAACCAAAACTGCCCCTGATCTTCATTATTCATCAAGATGGAAAATGTTAAGAGAACATATCTTGATTGAGGAAAATGTCCCACCTTCACCTCCTCAATCTTCTGTATTAACAGATAAAGAAGAAGATGAAGTTTTACCACAAGTTATCCCAACTTCTCCAGTTTCTCCAGTTACTTCAGTTACTCCAGTTACTTTTCAGACAGAAACATCAAAGGTAAAGCGAGAAAATAATCAAAGTCGTCCTTTACGCGGAGTTTTACGATTTAAAACAACAGTTCAACAGAGAACAGAATCTAATAAGATGGAAAAAGATATTGAAAAACTTATGTCACGTAAATATTCAAATAATACATTACATGGAACAACTGGAAGTACAGTTGGAACTATAGGTCATCAAGCTTCATACTTCCAAAGGCTTGACAACTTCGGAGATCGAGATCAAGTTAATTTCATGTCGGATCTTTTTAACATATTAAAACAAAATAAACATGTTATCAGATTACCGGATAGTCACACAATTCTGTCAGAATTAACCAAACCATTTTTTAATTATCCAGTTAATGGTATTTAAATTATTCTCTCTCTCTCTCTCTTTCATATTATCATTATTTATAATTATTTATTTATAAAATTTCTAATATTAAAAATCAAATTTTATAGTGAATGAATGTAATCAGGCTTTGGATATTTTTGAATTCTTGAAATCCACTTTTAGACCACTTGATGAAAATGTAAAAAAAAAAATAACAATTAGAATTTATGAATTTTTATAATATTTATGAATATCTATTAATTTGATATTATATCATTTGTAATAGGAAAATTTTGAAAGAATACTTTGGTGTTGCAAAATATTAGAAACACGAAATGTTCAAATAAGGGTAATTGTACATTTCAAATTGTTTAAATAATTTTTAATTTTTGACTAAATTTATATTCATAAAAAAAAAATATATTTAGAGTCGAATGTGTGGAATTGTTGAAAAATTTTTAAATTCCACAGCCTCAAATTCATTTTTACCAACTTCAGTTCCTGCAATTCATTCTCTTATATATACCTTTGTGCATACCTTAGTTGTGACTTCAGTTGGCATAGAAGGAACTGAAGAATCCATTCAATTGTATAAAATGATAAAAGGATTTCTGGAAAGATTAGCCGCTGGTACTTTAATCTCCTTAGATGAAGAGATTTCTATAGGCAATACTAGAGTACAAATTCAAAAATACGATAGTATAGCGCGTTGTATTTTTATGGAAGGATTAGTTAAATGTCTTTTGGTTAAAGATTTTCAATTACGGAAATATGTGATGGAAAATCTTATTTCAGTTAGTCATTTTAATTATTTTGTCTTTATTATTTTGAATTATTTGAATTATTTTTTAATATTTACAATTTTTTTTTTTTTTCAAGAAATATTGGATAACTCCGGATCCAACAATGAAAATTCTCTATGAACATGTTATTCAATTTTTTGCACAAGCCACTTTCGAAATATTATCGGACCAAAATTCTTTTATCAATGATCTCGAAAATGGTTCTCTTCCTTATATTATTTTGCATATATTAACTAATAGACTTCCTGCAAACAGTCTTCAAGATATGTCTCCACACGTAGTACGTTCTCTCATAAGTGTGGCAGTATCTGTATTTGCTATCCCATGGAAAGATAGCTCTCTTATCAGAACATCATTTAATAAAAATAATAATAATTATAATCGATCTTCATCCTCAAACAGACAATATAATCTTTTAGAATTTGGTGGCAAAGAACAATCTTCCGATAAAGGATCATTGACTTCGTCCACCGAAAATTTATTATTAATTCCAGGAGTTCAAAAGCAATCCGATAATGACGCTTTGAAACTTGCGAAATTATATATCGAATCATTTTGGAGTGAAGGGTGGAAAAATGAAATTATTGAACTTTTAAAAGAAGCTGTACGTGTATTACCCTTACTCATTTTCATTTTTCAATATCTTTTGTTCATCAATTGTTAAAGTGAAATTTTATTATAAAATTTTAATATTAGTTTGAGCAAGATAGTCTTGAAAGAATTATCACTATATTCGAACAAATGGTGTTCGATGTTAATGAAGAAATAGGGCGTGAAATTGTTGCCGCAACTATTTCTGACTTATTTTCTGTGAGTAAAATATAATTGTTTAATTAAAAAATTTTTAATACATCCCTGACTAAAGATTCTATATAAATTTTTTTTTAAAGAAAATTGTGGAATTGCAACCTGAAAATTCTCGAAATCTTAAGCAATTACTATTGACTCTATCATCTAAGTATCGAACTGAATTTTTTAAACCGATGTTAGCATGTGTGGCTTCTGATTCGGAATCAAAGGTTGCCGAACAACTGCATTTAATAACAACACTCAGAAATTATATTAGTGGTATCGAATTATTTATGCAAGATGCTGAATTAATGACTGTTATTATTCTGAGTGATGTCAGTTCGGGCACATCAAAAGATGACAAGCATCAATCAAAACTTTCTACTACAAGTAATGTATCAAAAGTTTCTTGGGGTTCTACAACTCTTGGCCAATGTGCTATTATTATGGAATTTTTATGGACTGTACGCCAATTACGATTATATCAATCAGAGGTAATAATCAATTCGGGATCTGCTTGTAAAAAATTTTAATTCATTTAATTTAATTTATATTTCTTTCTTGGAAATAATTTTATTTTTTTTTAGAGATCAAAAGATACCCAAATAGAAATATATGCTAAAAAGTTTTTGAATGAACTGGAACTCCGTTTAGCAGTATTTATGACTGCAAAAGTAGGTTATTGTTTTAATATTCTATTTTTTTTTTTGAAAGCTTATCTAACAAAAGTCCTAAAATTTTTTATTAACAATTTTCAGGAGAAAACCAAATTAATACCAATGCCTTTGCGTGTATTACTCAGTAACTTATTTTTCGAGATTCGATTATATTGTAAAACAACCAATCGGTAGGTATGATATTTATGATAAAATATCCTTATATCTTTATATCCGAAAATAAAATAAAAATAATGAAATGAATTAATTTTTATGTTTTAAAAGTCCAGGATGGTTATCAAAAATGATCGATTGGTTAATCCTTTCTGCTCCCGGGTCAGAAATATATCATGATTCCGTGATTATTGGGGGAACGATGGCCAATTCATCTGAAGAACTTGATGTGAATGAAGATCAATTAAATGAAGTTGAATTGATATTTCAAAGGGTAAAAGACGTTTACGAAAAGTTGGACGATTGGACTTCGACTGAACTTGAAAGAGTATGTAAAACGTATAGATAATTCATTTTGTAGTGACAGATAAACATTAATGATATTTAACATTGATATAATATATCTCTTTTAGAAAGATGATTTACCTGATGGTCCAGTTCCTGCAATTCCAAAATCTATGCCTATTATTTCAATACCACAGAAATCCAAAAATTCATTGGTTTCATATAATAACATAAGAAAACGTTATTCTGTTTCCCCTTCACCAAAACCGAGTATGCATCAATCTTCATCATTACCAGAAGGCAGCCGACTTTACTGGTTTAATAATTTCAAAGATAATTTAGCTGATTCCATTTTAGCGTTACTGGTGGCAATATATTTATCTTTAATGATAAATGAATATACAAGACTTGGACCATACATATGGAACAGATTTTTAAATGATAGAGAACATAAACAATTCGTTTCTTCTGCATTTTTGTTTATACAATGTGCTGAAAAATCTCCAAATGTCATTAAAGATTTAATGATGCGAGATTTATATAGGTAACTAAAAGTTCTCTAATCTTTTGTATATTGGTATGTATAATATTTTTAACTTATTAATTCTACTTTTAGTACCAATGCATTAGTTCGTTCAATGACTATTCGCAAAATTTCATCTATATTTGGACACCGAAATCAATTATTATCACAACCATACGTGTCCGATTCAAGTCGTCGACGTCCTTTTCGTGCACAAGCTCCTCCTATTTCCTTTGTTCCTACTGAACTTGGAAATCAATTTATGATGTCATATGAATCATCTAGAGCTCATAAGGTGACAACCAATGATACATTATCAGCTGATGTACGTAAAAGAATACAAGAATTTGGTTGGGAAGATGATGATCCAAGTGATCTAGAATTGTTCAAACGAATTGAGACACCTATATCTCTTTTACCAACATTTTATCTTGATGAAGAGGAATTTAAAATTGCAGAAGAGTCCGCTGCTCAAGAAAAAATAAGGAGGAATGTACGTGGAGTAAATAATAATGCAGCTTCCAATAATAAATCACAACCAAGTTCAAGTAAACGAAGAGGAATATCAATTCCAATCTTATGTTCATTTTCTATGCCACTAGTTGATTTACTTGATGATGCACATGGTGGAGTATATAACCTTACAAAAGAACTTATTATGTATTTTCTCCGGGATGACCCTTCTTTATTTTTACGAATTTTTTTTAGTGATTTGGGTATAATGAATGTCGAAAAACAGAAAGAATTAATTACTCGAATTCGTTTTCTTATATCGATGCAACATTTATTTCCCCCTAATTTCACACATATTTTATTTAATCATCTTGCTGGAATATTAAAATGGTATTCACGAGATAACAAGGAAAATGGTCTTGCACTAATGACTTATGTTATACCAACTTTAGCCGAAATGGTTCCAGCCATAAATAATTTATTAGTTCGTGATTTTCGGAAAAATAAGATTGAACATATTATATGTAATAATGGACAATTTTGGTTTTCGGAAGGAACACCTGTTACTATGTTTCCTCGTAATTTGACAGATAATCGAATTAGATTTCATATTTTATCCGTACCTCTGGAATTATTTCAAGTTGCAATACTTCGAATTGGACATATACATTTTATGACTAATTATGTTGTAAAATGTCCTCATGAAGTATATTCCATTAAAAAAATGATTCATGCATTTGCACCTTTTCCATTATCCGATGATTATGGACAATCAAAATCAACAGAAATGAATAATGAAGAAGATCGATTTTTACCAGATATAAATAAAAGAGGAAAACGTATTAGTGAATTAAGTAATATGCATTCACGAAAAATAAAGGATTATAAATTACTTTCAGCTTTACGAGCTCGCTCTTGGTTAAACTTTTTATTAGAATTTTTAAAAAGATTAAATACAAATTATAATGATCGTAATGAATTAAATTTATTTTTAAGTGGTGCAAATGATATTTTATTGGAACATTCAGGGGATTTTGGTATTGTAGGTCAAACATTAGTTTTATATATGACAGTAGCAACAAAATTTCGTAGATTATTTGATACCAATAGAGGATATTCAATATTTATTCCCGCTTTATTTAAAATTTTTTGTGAATTAGAAAATATTAAACCAATAAGGTCAGCCATAACATTTACATGGATTAAATTCTTTAATGTACATGGGGAATCATTCATTTTTCAAGCTCTTGGATGTTTAACACCAATAATATTAAAAGGTTCAGCTAAATCCACCACAACTGGAGAATGGATTTGTTCATCTTTATATGAATTATTTAAAGCATTAAATTTTCCAGCGAAATTTGTTGATACATTAGGAATATTTGATATTGTAGATGAATTAGATACATCAGATTTTTTAATAGTTGAATCACCTTCATTATTATTTAATAATACTATTAATAATACATTAACTTCAACATTTGGAAATAGTTTTTCGGGAAAATTAAAGACCGGTTTATTAGGAACACATGGAGATAAAATCTTTTCATTAGATGATTTAGTTAGATTATTTTTAACAATTATTGCATATGATCCAGGTTCATTAAGAGCGGAACAATTTGTTCACATTTTACAATATTTAATTCCACATCTTTTACAAGAATCATCATCTGTTCGTTCATTGGTAGTTGAAGGAATTGCTGCATTAATAGAAGTATTTCTTAAATTTTCTAAATCTTCTAAACCACTTTTGAGTTCAACCGGGATTTCCGGTAGTGGAATAATTAATATTGATACAACTGAAGGAAATTTAGATGTTAATGATACTACATCATTTAATATTCAATGGATAAATGATGCGACAACTCAAGCTTTTGGAAAGCAATGGAAACAAAATGATCGAATGAAAATCAAAAGACAATTTTTAACTTTAATTCAAGTTTATAAATTACATGATGGAATGTTATCAGATAATAGTCATAATAAGATGGCAAATATAATTCGTTTAATGATTAAAGATTATTCAACTATTAAAATGCGAATTTCTACGGGTTTTTTAAAAAATTATATTCGGGATGCATTACTTTTTAATACAACTTTTGAAGATAGTAGAAAACCTTTATTATCAATTTTACGTCAACTTTCAACATCTTTTCGACAACATTATAAATCAATCGATTTTTCGGGATTAATTGAAGGACTTGCATTAATTGTAACAAATAAATGTAGATTTACAATTAATGATCATTCAATGGCCAATATACTTAAAGAGAAATTTATATCATTTGGATTTTCCGTTGTTTTAAAATCTGATTGGGGAGAAGAAGGAACGGAAGCATTACAATTAAGACTTTGTAATAGTTTAATTGAATTATTTGTTGCAATGATGACACATTCTGAATTAGATATGTTATCAGAAATTGATAAATATTTACCATCTCATCAACTTATGGCTTATATAATCATACCAATATGTCTTAAATATAAACCCGAAAATGCCATATTTACACCATTACCATCTAAATTTGATCCACGCGATGCAAATGCCAAAATTTGTTGGAATAGACTTTTAGCATATGTTACCAAAGCATGTAATAAAGATTTTATGCAAAGGAAAATTTCAAGAAAAAGTAGTTTTCGTTCAACGAATGTACCTTTAAATAATGAAATAAATAAAGATATTGACGGTAGTGAAATGGAAGTTCAACCTAAAAAAGTTATGTCAACATCCGAATCAGCTGCCACATTTATAATAAGTTTCACGGCACTAAAAATTTTATTAATTCGGGCAGAAAAATATATTACTCAAACTAATGGTATGTGGGTTCATATTGCTCAATTTATACGACAAAGTCTTGCATCATCGGGTAAATTACGTACTGGATTTTATTCAAGTAATTCTTCACCAAGTGCAAGTACCACGAATTTTAATACAAATATAGAATCACGAAATGATAATTTAGGAATATCTTTACAAAGTGATAGAGTATCATTTTTATCTCAAGGAAATAATAATAATTCACATTTATCAAAACCATTTCCTACCACAGCACATGAATTTGTATTGTGGACATTTTTGGAATTAATTTTGTTTTATAAATTACCGATCAATTTATATTTGAGAACATTTATACACCAAAAACTTCAAAATACATCATCCATAAATTCCACAAATGTAAATGGTATAAATTATCGATATTCTTCAATGGAAAATTTAAATAATTCACAGAGTAATAATAATAATAATAATAATAATAATAATAATAATAATAATAATAATAATAATAATAATCGTGAATTAAGAAAATCACGTTGGAAAAGTTGGGGAGGACCTCCAATAGGAATTCAACAAGCCTTAAATAAATCTTTAGAAAAAGAACCAAGTATTAACGGAAGAAATAAATTTAGAATAAACAAGAATAATCCAGGTGATGGATTAATTTTACCTACAGGAAATAATGATCTCAATATTGGATTGGCGCAACAACAACAACAACAACAAAATAATACATCAATTAATCAAGGTTCACATCACGGTGGTTATAATAGTGTATTTAGTGGAGTTGGTAATGGCACGCATGCAAATAATTTAATTAATGAAACATTTAAAGCTTATTCAAATGTTTGTACTTTAATGGGTTATCAAAATAATAAAAATTCACAACAAGAATTAGAGGCATGGAGTTATAGACAAGTATTAGAAAAATTAAGAGAAGAAACGAAACTTGTTTCGGAAGCATTCAAAGGAACATTTAAAGTATCTGGAAATGATGAAACGGCGGGTAATGGAATTGACGGTGGTGATTAATTTATTTATTTAATTTTTATTTAATTATTTAATTTATTAATTAATTTATTATATTATAGTGTTATTTTAATATAATGTATTTACAATATAATAAAGATTCATTATCATATCTCATTATGAATTATGGAACACAAATTTTTTTATTATTATAAAAATGATATATAAATGAAATAATGAAATGAACTTTTTTAAAATTACATTTGATATTCAAATTTTAAATTTTAAAATTGATAATTAATCATTATATGTATAATCCATCAATCTTCAAATAATGATTCTATTCCAATTTCTTCAGGATCTTCAATTACATCTAATATTCCAATTTGTGGTTTTGAATAATTTCCATGAATAATTCTTTTAGTTGATGGTGTAGAAGTTGTTTCAGGAACTTTAAACCATTCTCCCGTTGATAACTGAAAAAAAAATAAGATTAATAAATAAATATTAAAAAATAAATAATCGATAAATTGATAAATTTAATAAAAGAAAGAATAATAAATAAATAAATTAATTAATTAATTACTTCAGTTACCCCTTCTAGAAACTTTTTAACTATATTTTTACGTGTTTTACTTTCATTTGCTTGACCAAGTGATTTCTCAAATTCCTACATATATATATATATTAATATAAAAGAAATAAATATTAAGATAATAATAATATAATAAATATTATTATTTATTAATTATTTACAGTTCATACCTGTAATCGAGTATGATCCATATTTAACATTTGCGCAAATGTTTCATAAGGTATAGAAGAAAGAACAAGTCTTAACTCAATATACAAATTTGTTATTAATGAGATTATTACAGGATATGATTCTTTGTGATATCCATCATGTAATGCCTATTATTATTATTATTATTATTATTATTATTATTATTATTATTATTACTACTGCTTTATAATTATAAATTGAATTACCTGAAGCGCAGCTATTAACAAATCTTTCCCTACAAATTCTCTTAATACTTCACGTTCTATTAAACTGGTTAATATTCTATCACATAATTGAGCCGTTTTCACACATGTTACGGAATCTTTAAAAGTCAAGAGATGATAAAGGCTTATTAAAAATGGTTCTGTAATTGCCTTTTATAATAAAAATATGATTAATAAATCAGATCCAAAAATATTTAAAATGTAAATAAATAAATAAATTATAATCACCATGTCATCCAACATATATTTTTTTAATTCATTATTGTCCGAGGTGTCATCATCTACAAATATAAATAAATTATAAATTAATTAAATTTTAAAATTAATTAAAGTATAATAATAATAATAATGATAATGATATTGTCTATAAATAAATAAATAAATAATTTACCTGTCTGTTTTTTAGATGAGGGAGCGAATATTTGATCAAATATATCTATATAAGCTCTTGTTAAATCGCGTAATACTAACTCATTTAATATTTCATCTGAAGCATCACTTGTCAAATTCGAATTATCTTGTTCTCTAAAAAAAACAAAGAAAAAAGTAAGATGTGAATATGTGAAGATCAAAAAATATAGAGATATATATATTAAACAAAAGAATATTACCCTTCCTCAAAAATTCGTTTTCCTATTAATATATTCCATTCCTCTACTAATTTTTTATTCATATAATTTAATAATTGTGGCAAGAATCTAGATAAAATTTCGGGTTTTGTGCAATTTAAAACGTAAGGACGAACTACTGAATGTATTATTGGAAATTTAATAAATTTAATCAAGTTAAGAAATAAAAAAAAAATTTTATGAATTAATGAATTATTTTTTAAAAAAAAAAAAATAAAAAAAAATAAAATAAAATTAAAAATAAATTAAAATAAATTAAAGAAAAAAAAGGATATTTAATAACATTTTCCAATGAATATTATTTAAACTTTCGGCATTTTCAAATAAAGCTTGATCAAGAGATTCATGAGCATTATGAATAGAGTAAAATGATTGACCAAGAATTGTCAATCGTCCAAGAACATAATAACTAATTTATTATTTATTATTATAATTATAAATTATTTTTTTATAAAGTAATTAATAATTATTGAACTACTAACTCTTCAATGAAAATCAAACAAATGAAATATTAACCTGTCTATCCTTAATGTTGATAACCATTTTCGAATTTGATTCATCATACCAGCTATTGTGTATTGTTTGGTGTAAGAATCTGTCAAAGGAGATTTTTCTGAATGTCCTAATGAGAGAGAAAAGAAAGGAAATTAGGAAGAAATGAAAATTGTGATGAAAGTTAGAATGAAAATATGAATAAGATAAATAAAATAAAAGAAATATACTAATTATATTAATTTATTTTTATACAGATACCTATAATAGATGCTTTTTCTTCTTGACTTAACATCAAAATTTCTTGTAATTCAACTGGTATATCTTTCCATACCGTAATATTCCAAAGTTGATGAAGGAATCTAATTTAACAAATTCAATATGTAATAATCAATAAATATGATCAATAACATAGTAATCAATACATAATCAAAAAATTATACCTTATCAAAACTAAAGTTGTGGATAAAATAGTGGGCAAATATTTCTTCCACAATTCCGCTCCAATATTTATTGAATTTGATCCCTGTAATTATATATAATTTATTATTATTATTATAATTTATTATAATTTATTATTATTATATTTTATTATAATTAATTATAATTAATTATAAATCAAAACTTTACTTTTGTGACATTATCAGTTGTCCTACGAAGCCAAATTAGCATAGAATTCTCTAACCATATAATCTAATGAAAATAATTCTAATATTAACATAATGAATTATACAAGAATATTAAATATAAAATAAAATATAATTTTCACCTTATTCCTTCTTGATTTGAAATATTCAACATCTTTATGAAGACCAGGTTCAAATTCCATAACTCCGTTGTAAATACATTTAGATTTCATATCATTAACTTAGTGAAAAATCATTATTAAAAATTAATAACAAGATTTAATTAATTAATTAATAAAGTTGAATTGATAAAAAATTGAAATCAAAACTTACCAACTTTTGATAAAAAATAAATTCCTGAAAATTCACAAAATTGAGTGAATGAAGTTATAAAAGAAGTATATCGTGGTAAATTCCAATTATTGATGGTCGGTTGAACTATAGGATCAAAGAGAAGTTGTTTTTGTTCTAATGGTAAACTAGAATTATATCTATTAAATGAATTTAGATATGAAAATTTTATAATATTAAAAAAATAAAAATTATAATAATATGAATAAAATAATAATAAAATGGTAATAACATTATTATTCCTACATGATTGAAAGCAAGAACTCTTGTAATGAACTTTTTTCTTTTCCTGATAAATTATTTTTCTTATCTCTTATAAGATCATTTATATAATTAGAGATATCTGAATATATATTCTAATATAAAATATATGATATATGTAACATATGTTAAAAATATAATATATATATACAAGAATAGAAATATAATAATAGAAATATCAAAATAAAATAAATTTACCATTAATACATTTGGAATTGTAAATCCAAATTTGGTCAATGTTGCAATTGCTCCACTTCTTAAACGTTGAATCGGTATAGGAACACAAGATGATTCAATATAATTAGGTGGAAGATATACTACATATATAAATATCTAAATAATTAAAATAATCAATAATTAAATATTAAATAATATTAATAAATAATATTTAATTATAATATATAATATTATTTAATTAATAAAATTAATAAATCTAATACATACTTTTTGTAAAAGAGGAAATAACAATGAAGAATCAATAGTCAACAAGTCAACAAATGAAACTAAGGTTGTTAAATATCTATGAGTCATCACTGGATCCTTTTTAATTCAAAATTATTGATATAAAATTATTGATATAAAATTATTTTTATAAAATAAATTTATAAAAATCATTTATAATCCATAAATTAAAATAAATAGAAACAGAAATAGAAATAGAATATAGTGCTTACAGAATAATTGATATTTAATATCATCTGCAATAAATTTTTCAAATCATTTATTATTTGGTTTTTTTGTGTTTTCTGTAAAATAACAAAATCATAATGATAAAAAATACAGTTATAAATAAATAAATAAATAAATAATGATAATAATAATAAGGATAAATAATAAGTATAGAATAAATAATATTTACAATAGGATTGTCATTTTGTTTAATAAGTTTTTCTATTCCTATAACAACAGAATCCATCAAAGTCATTTCTGCTTCAAAAGAAATGTAAAATGGTGAATCAACTTTACACGCTCCTTCCTCTAAATAATATTAAAAAGGTAATAAATAATAAAATAATAAATTATAAGTAATAATGATAAAATAAATAAATAAATAAATGAATGAATGAATAGATGAATAGATGAATAAGAATTAAATAATATTAAAATATTTACCGTCAAGGTCAGTAATATTCGGACTAACAACTAAAGTTCTTTGAATTCTCTCCACCATCCAATAAAATGATTGGGTTGGTCTCATTTGAGTAATTAATTTTATTAATTCAATAAATTTCGCTCGAAATACTTGAATAAATATTCGATAATCATTTGAGGAATCAAAATCAATGTTGATATAATAGGTAATCTCGTTTTCAATATCTTTAGGTTGGAATAACTTTTTTTTTTTTTTGCAAAAGATCAATCAATATCAATAATATCAATATCATTCAATATCATTTAATCATTCCTAAATTAGAATTTTAAATCAATTTACACTAAAGAAGAATAATAATAATAAAAAAGAATATTGTATGTATTCATCAAATTTGAATCTAAATTTCAATTAATTGTATTATACCATTTTTAATCTCTCAGTAAATAATTCCATAAGCATTATTGGTAAAGTTTCTTGTTCATTTATTCCCTATCAAATATATTCAAAAAGATATTAAAAAAGTTTAATATTAACAAAAAATAAATAAATAAATAAATAAATAATAATAATAATCAAAAATAAACACACAATAATACCTTTGAAATAATTAAATGTCTTAATGCTGTTTGCCAAAATTTCATTACATTAGATGCAATAGTATTTGATGGATGTTTTGAAATTTCATATATTAATTCCAAATATCTAATAATTAATTCAAAATGATTAATTTAACAATAAATTTACTCCCATAAAAAAAAATAGATATTATATTTACGCCGGAAATCGATTAGGTATAATAGTATTATTCTTATAACATAGATGCTTTTCACCAATTTCAATAATTACATCTACAAATTTCTTTAAAAAATCATATTCATTTTCATTTTCTTCCAATTGTTGCTGTAGTAATAATTGTTGTTGTTGTTGTGTTATTTTATTATATACTGTAATTAATAAATCTATTACATTTCGTTCATAAATAGGTTCAAGGATAAGTGCTCGTTCTTCGGGTGTTTGAAAATTTCGTGAAAGAATTATCCATAAACATTCAATTAATGCCTGTACATATAAAATTTAATCATTTTGATTATGATTATTATTATTATTATTATTAATTTTTATTATAAATAAATAAAATATAAATTTAAATACCATTCTGATTCCATAACAATCAATTAATAAACAATTTGATATTATATTTATTACATTTGCATTTACGATGGCTTCTGTAAATATCCATTCCACATGTGCATTTATGGTATTAATAGTTGCAATTGCCAATTTCTCATAAATAATTTTTGTGGTTTCTGTAAATTCTATTGTTTCCAAATTTTTTAATTGTTCCCATCCCATTACCAATTGTTCTAAAGATCTAATCCATATGATTAACCATCCTTCATCATTAGGTTGTTCTCCTTGCATAATAGTAATTTCATCTTTTCGACGTGAATCTTTGACTTTTACATTATCCGGGTATTTCATTTGTAATATTGATGAACTTGCTACTATACAAGTTAATGAATCTCGTAAATCCATTTCTTCGGCTAAATATCGAAATAAAAATAAAGATAATTCTTGTATTGTGGGCTAAAAATAAAATAATAATAATAATAATAATAATAATAATAATAATAATTAAATTAATATTTGTAACATTTTTGTAAGATTTGAAATGATAAAATAATAATTATTCTTACACCGGAATTATAAAACTTTTTCAATAACGCGTTCATGTCAGGCCAATTATTTGGCCATTCACGTTTTGCAATATCAGCAAATAATTTTGCTAATTTCTCTTTGATATATAATTTTTCCGTTAATATAAGATTATTATCAGATTCCTATTAAAAATATCATTAATATTATTATTAAATTTAATTATTTTTAAAATTCATTATTCATTATCATTATTTTTATGAACAAATAAATAAATAAATCAATCAATAAATAAATAATGAATTCACCTCCTGAATCAAATTTATCACATTTTGTTTAATCATTTCTCTTTCTTCTATACTATAATCATTCCAATGAAATCTAATGCTATCTTCTATCATCAAGAGCCCAAAATGTCTGACTATATCTGAATTTGAATTATTGTTTCTTGAAGCTAAATATGGTCCATATACTAATGAACATTCATCTTTAATCATATTACAATACTATTTTTTTATTATTATTTTTTTTTTTATTTTTGATTCATAATATATAATAATGATAATAATAATAATAATAATAATAATAATAATAACAATAATAAGAGAGAGGAGTTTTAGATATTTTAAAAAGAGATTTGATAAATTGATAAATCAACATTATAAATAAATATTATATAAATAAAAATATTAATTTTATTAATAATTATGAGCGAACCTTTTGTGCTTCGTTCCTATCATTTTTTGATACAAATGGACTATGAATTATTTCCAATGCTTGATTAATCTTATTAATCACTATTATAATTATTATTATTGTTGTTGTTGTTTTTGTTATTATTAATTAATTAATTAATGTTTATATACGTGTGAATATTATGTAATATTATCGTTTTTTTTTTTTTGATTTATCTGTTTATCGAGAAATTTAAAAAAAAAAATCTATTATTTATATACCTTGAGGATCCATTTTTATAATTTTTAAGAGAGAAATTAATGTTAAATAGAGAGAGAAATAAAATTAGAGAAGAAGAAAGGAAATCAAAATTAGATCATCTTTTAATTTTAATTTATATTTTTGTCAATCAATCAATCACGTTTATTTCCAGTTAATCCGAAAAAATATAAATTTGTATGTTTTTGTTTTTTGAAAAATTATTATTATTATTTAAATTTTTTGTAAAATATTTAAAATATTGAACATTGAACATAAAGTACTGTAACAATAATGCCGCAACCACCTAAAAAATTAACCCCATATCAATTTAAAGAAGGTTTACATTATGATGCTCCGGTGTGTATCTAACTTTATTTCTTTTATAATATTGAAATTATTTTATTTATTAAATTTATTCTTAAAATTATTCTTATTTATATATATTTAATTATATTCTTATTTATATATATTTAATTATTCTTATTTATTATTTTAATAAAAATTATTCTGATAATTTATAAATAATAATTTTGTAAAAATATTTTTCTAAAAATAATATAATAATGATAATTCACAGCTCCCAAGTTTTTTAGCCAACATAAATCAACAAATGATAAAAGATAATCCAAAAAGATATGAAGTCATAAGTGTTGATAATAATATAGATGAAGAAGAAGAAGAAAAACAATTGATATATGCTAATAGAGAAGAAGAAAGACCTCAGATAGTGGTATTAAAAGAAGGAAGACATTTGAGTGAACGAGAAGTAAAAGATTATATTGATACAAAGTCATCATCATCATCAGGAATAGAAAAATTGAATAAAAAAAGGGATCAAGGTTTATATTTAATTTTATTGACTATTTAATTAATTAATTTGGTAATATAATAATAATATAATAATAATAAATAATAATAAATAATAATAATAATAATAATAATACAACTTTTTCAGAACAACAAATATCCTCAAACGAAGAAGAAGAGGAGGAAGAAGAAAGTTCACCTATAGATAAAGAAACTGGAAAAATTCTTTTCAGAAAACCAAAAACCAAATCAAAAAAATCTTTCGGAAATTATTCAAATAGGAAGAATAATAGTAAAACTAATGAATCTATAAAATCACTCAATGAAACCATTGAAGGAATGAAAGGAAAAAGAAAAAATATTGATATGGATAATAAAAATGTCAAAGCAGATAAAACAGATAATAATAATAATAATAATAAGATAAATTCTCCGGATCATAAAAAAAAATCTAAATTGAAAAAGAAAGCTAAAACGAGTAATTATTTAAGTTTTAATGATGAATAACGATAATAATAAAAATAATAATAGTAGTAAAATTTATTTTTTTTAAAGACATTCTACTACGTCGTGTCGTCACATATCTAAATAAGGTTTATTTAAAATTGCGTAGTGTAACAAATAACAACTAATTATTATAATAAAATATGTAGAAGTAACATATATAAAAACTCTTTTTTCTACAATTTAAATAAAAAGATGGCATTTTCATTTATAAATCATTTAAATAAAAAGCGCGTAGTTCTTGCTTCAGGTTCACCACGTCGAAAAGAAATTCTTTCTCTCTGGGTAAATATCAAAATAATAAATTTAATCAAATCAATAAAAATCTTACTATATTGATTTTTTTTTATTTATTATATTTGTTTTTTTTTTACAGGGAATAAAATTTGAAGTAGTTCAAAGTACTTTTTCTGAAAACTTGGATAAATCAAAACTTGGTCCTTATGATTATGTCACAGAAACTGCTACTGGAAAAGGTTTAGAAGTTTATGAGCGTTTAACAGTAAGTAAATAAATATAATAATATTAATATTATTCTTAACTTTCTCTCATTTTCTCACCTTTTTTTTAAAAAAAAAAAAAATTAAAATTTTCAATAAATAAATTTTTTCTTAATAAATAAATAAATGAATTAATAAATGAAATTAATAAATGAATAAATAAATGAATAAATAAATGAATGAAATAAATAAAAGAAAGAAGATAAAGAAATCGATCTAGTAATTGCCGCTGATACGGTGGTCTTCTTGGATGAAGAAATTTTAGAAAAACCCAAAGATCAAGATGATGCTTTTAGAATGCTTAAAAAGATGAATAATCGGGTTCATCGAGTATACACTGGTGTAGCACTAATTTATCCTTTGGTAGAACCAGTTTATCCTGGATATGAATTGGTGACTTTGGTGGAAGAAACGGAAATTACATTTAGAAATAATAGTGATGAGATCTTGTTAGAATATATTAAAAGTGGCGAATCACTGGATAAAGCTGGTATTTATTAATATTTTATTTATTTTATAATTATTATTATAATTTTCTTTATATAAATATTTTATTATAACTATTATTTTATTTGATATTACATAAAAAAAAAGGAGCATATGGATACCAATCACTTGGTTGTTTGCTTGTTAAAAAAATTAATGGGTAAGTTAAACAATTAAAGAAATTATTATGTATTAAAAATAAATTTAATTTCTATCAAAAATCAATAAACAATTTAATTTATTTTTAGATGTTATTATAATGGAGTTGGATTGCCAACAAGTCTTTTCACAAAATTGGAAGAACTTTTTAGAAAAGGAGATATCTAAATATTTTATTCATTATCTTTGCAAAAAAAAAAACAAATTGAACTGTGCGTGCGAGTTAATAAGAGTTAATAAGATAATCAAGTTTTGTAAAATGAAATTTTTTTTTTTATTACTTTGGGCAATTCACGCCATGCTATGCTATATAATACAGCTCTATAGTCGAAAAAAAGGAGATTTTTGAGACCAAATTTCAGCAATCAAATAATAATAAAAAAAAAATAATACCAGTACTAACCGCTATCGTTTCGTGATTTAATTAACAAGAATATTCGAGATTACACCAAATATAGATTTGAATCAATCGAACAGCGCCTTGTTGATTCAAGTTTTTAACAAATACTTCACAACCATTTTTATATTTGCGTAGTATTTGTATAGTATTCGAAACATTCAAACTTACAAATTGTTTTTTATTTAAAAAAAACAAGAACGCGGATTTATTTATGATCTGAATTTCCAAATTTCGAATTTCGGTAGGACATTAAAACAAACATTCTACAAACATTTTAAAGTGCAATTAAAGTGCATTGTTGTTGTCAACGGAATATATAAATATATACATGTATTAGAACTTCAAGATCTTTCCAGAAAAAAAAATTGTAGCCACGTTTCTAAAATTTATAGTGATCTTGGAGTTGTGGCATCAACAAATATTTGACCCGTTTTAATAATAACTTTGATTACCTCTTTGACCTGTTTTTTTAATTCTGTTCTGTATCAAGTTTTTATTATTTTTATTATTTTATTAGTTCTAAAATTTTATATATATGAAATTTAATAAATATATTTTTCTTGTAGATATATATTGTGAATAATGAAATTTTCTCTATAATAAAATACATATCAGAAATATATAGTAATAATACGAACGAAAAACTAAGCCTAATAAGAAGAATTGTGGTTGGTATATTTTTTTTTAACGTGGCAATTTAGAATTTGCACTTTTCTTTGGGCTGTTAAAATTAACTATCAAAAATATATGAATCTATTTTATTTAATATATATTAATATTATAACAATTTCTTTGTGGCGCTCTTTTCTCAGCCATACAATACCTATATATTTTCTCTATAGTAAAATAATGAATGCTGCGTCTAATTCTTGGTATTTATTATTTTATTTTTCTTTCCTAAATTATCTTGAATTCTTAATTATTTCTTCTCTCATTCTCCACTGCATTGGTTCATTCCTTTCTTCCTTAAATTCTTACTTAATTACAGTACATACCCAATAAATGAAATTCATTTTATTCAACTGTTCACAGCCTCCCCAATTCCAGTAAGAAAAATTCAGCAAACGAAAATAATTTGTAATCAGGTTATACCCCGCCTTTTTTTTTTTTGTTTTTATTTTTTCTTGTTTTTATTTTTTTCTTGTTTTTATTTTTTTATTTTGTTTTCATTTTTGAATTTTTATTTTATCAATCCCCAGACAAAAGAGAAAAAATCGATCTCTTATTTTTCGATGCAAAAATAAATTGAAAAAGCAAAATTTATTTAAAATTATTATTAAACCTGTATAATAACAAGAAATCCACGTTCATATGTATATAATATTTATTTTGATCTATCTCACTTTTTTAACCTTTTTTTTTTATATTAAAAAAAAACAGGACAAGTTTTTGCCTCATAAAGGTGGCTAATTTGTTCATTGATTGATAGCATATTTTACTCAAAATAAGAAAAATAGGCAAATTTCCTAAGACTATTTTATTTTTTGACAGCTTTACTATTTTACTTTCCCCAAATTATTTGTAAAGATAATTTGTTACAATAAAGAAAGATAAATAAAATAAATAAATAAATTAAAATATATTAATAAGATAATGTTAAATATATAATGCAACAATAATTCTTTGGATTTTTCTCCTTGACACGTGCCAAATGAAAATAATTGAAAGAATTACATATCAACTATTTTCTTAAGAACTAAATGATAATTGTCTTTAGAATATGTTTCAGTATATTTCTATATGGCGTTTCTATATTTTTCTTAAGAAAAGTTAACTTTAAAACCTGTTCATCACAAAAACGCTAATCATACTTCATAGGACGTTTATTTGTTTTTTTTTTTTTTGTTTTTTGCGCGGCTTGTATTTTAATTTTCATGTAAAAATTTGTGTAATTTTTTTTTTAAAAAAAAAATTGCTTCAGCCCATCTATAAAACCGACCAAGCCTAATAACGCGCGATCAACGAGAATTTTACATTTTTAGGTATTCATCTCTTTAATAAAAATATCTCAGCCATATTTTTTCAAACTTTAAAACCAATAAAAGAAAACCTTTAAATAAGAAAAAACCTAAAAAGACAATTATAATATGAAATTCTGCGGATATTGATTTAATTTTTTTTTTCGTGTTTTGGTTTGTTGTTGTATTGTATTTTTTGTGTTAATTTTTTTTTGTTAATATTTGGAAATGAATATGCGTTGTGTTGTTGTATGAGTGTTGTGTATGAGTAGGTTTATGTGTGTTGTTTGCGTAAGTGGTAAAAAAAGTTCTTGTTGTAGTGGTAGGTAGCAATCAGCAGTATAGAAGAAGAATAGGCTTAGCTGAAAAAATTCCAAAAATATTCCTTATCAATTTTTTTAATTATTTTACTTCGCCCATAATGTCCATAATGCATTTATATTAATAATAAAATTATATAAATTCCACATCTTCTCGCAACTCATTTTTTTCTTTTTAAATTTCATACCACCCTTCTTTCATTTTTTCTCCCGGTACATTATCTCAAGCTTCATCTTGGTGGTTCTCGTTCCCCCACGAGCCTTGCGACGATTGTGCGGGCCCTTCCTGCCCCACAAGAATCACAAGATTCATAAAAGAAATAACTTTAATAATAAATAAATAATAATTTTTTTTTTTTCGAATGAATGAAATGATAATTGAAAATTTGACGATATGGATATTTTAATACAAGTTTCAATAATGTTTTATAAAAAATGAGAGACAAAATTAATCACAAGTAGGAAAATTGTTTTCTTGTAAGTAAAAAAAAAAAAAAAAAAAACTGATTTTCCATTTGATGTACAATTATAATAATAATCTTTAATATTTAAATAATATAGATACGTATAAATTCCACCATAGCTCTCCTTCAACGTTGCTAAAACGAAATTTGATTTTTAATCGTAAGTATTTTACTTCACGTGATATACTTTATAAATGATATTTTCTTTTTGCATTTACTTACATTTTAAAATTTCACGAAATTCTTAGATACGTGTATATATATATATATATATATATATTTAATATTTACCATGAATGGGTTTAATAATTTTTTTTTTTTCACCCGTCTTGAAAGAATCAAAAATTTATTATAATTACTGGATTAATAATTATTATTGCTGGATTATTATAATGGATTATTATAATTTGTTATTTCTGGATTATTATTATGGGTGAAACTTTCTAAAAAAAAAAAATCCCCTTCGTGCAAAAAGTTTCGCATATATATAAATATATATTATATGCACATTATATATATATATATATAACTTTGATGGAATTTACACGTTATTGCTCAAGAAATTTATATTTACAATTCTTTTTTTTTTTATATAACACACGAATCTATAAAAAAAAATTTATTCATGATTTATTTTTTTTTTTGATTATTATTAGAACATTGTAATATTTCTTTTTCAATATTTTAGAAATCTCTTCACATTTATTTTTTTTCCAAATTTAATTAAAATACACGTTTTATTTTTAACAAAACTTTATCCCTCTATCAATTAATTTATATAATACCACATATTTTATTTTTTCAATTATATAATAGCTCTTCTTCAGATTTTTTTTTGTATTATTATTATTATTATTATTTATTATTATATTTTTTTATTGATAAAGAAGCAACTCCTCCAAAATATTTAAATACTTTTTTTTTAATCATCAAAACACATTATTTTTAAACTTTTATTTTTAATTTTTTTTTTTTTCAAAAAGAATGAAAAAAAGAGAGCGAGTTACTTCAATATTAACAAAAAATTTTTTTATCTAAAATTCATAATATCATAATTATATATATTTTTAACGAAGAGCTATTTTTAATAATATTATTATAATTTCATATTTTTCCGAGGATAAAGTAATTTTTATAAAAAAAACAAGAAATTCTCAGGAGATTCTATTTTATTAATTTTATTAATTCTATTACCAATTTTTTTTTTTGCGTTAAGCATCATTAAAAAAAAATTATTGAACGTGTTCATGTGTTATATAATAATTATATAATCTTGTGTGTTATTTTTGTGATACAATACAATGAGTTTTTAATTGTTCTAAACGTTTTTAAAATATTATTTATGTTTAAAAAATAAAATAAAAAAATAAAATAAAATTGGAAATTAAACATAACTGATAATTTATATTTATTAATTGCGAAATTTAAGATATCCATTAGATATCCGTTATTTTCCTTTGATCAAATCTGTGCGCGTGTATGTGGGGTAAAGTTCCTAAATATAGAAACTAAAGAATTTATTTATATATATGGATATGTATGTATTTACTTTAAATAGGTAAAAATGATTATATAACAGATAAACAGATAATGTGTATTTTGATTTTCACGATTTCAGAAACTCAAGTTTTATATTTATTTTTTTTTATAGTAATAAATTAGATTATAGTAATTATATTAAATATATTTTATATTTTACAACTTGATAATACAGTATTATCTTTATTAAATATTAAACAAGGAACCTTAAATATTAAAGAAAATAACAAAGATTATTATAAAATTATATAAAATTATATATATATATAATTTAATGATATGTATATCAAACATCAATTCATCATCATCATTGGGCATTCTTTAAGTAAATGTCCCTTTTTTGAACATGCCGAACATGTATAATATGGGCACTGTATGGCTAAATGTCTGTTTATTGCAAAGCATTTGGGACATTTATAACCTTTAGGAGGTCTTATAATTCTAGTGGGTCCTACAAAAACAATACCAATAATTAATTATAAAATAATAATAATAATAAATTATAGAATAATAATAATAATATAATAATAATAATTAATTAATTAATTATTAAATAATTTATTATTAAAATAATTAAATATTCGAATATTACCAATATATAAATCAATATTGTGGTTTATTCGTTCCAGACATGGCATAATGTAATGTGGTTTTTGTTTCCTTTCTTTAAGATAACCTATTATATTTCATTATATTTCGTTATATTTTATTATATTTTATTATATTTAAAATAACATATTTAGATAACTGAGAATTTAACATTAAAATATTAGAGGGGTTTTTTTTTTACTTGACACCATTACTCTTCTGCATTTCTTGTCAGGTTTTAATGAATATATAAATTTAACGTCGTCAGCCTGTAAATATGTAAATATGTAAATATGTTAATAATATTAATTATTTATGGATTTTGTCAAATTTGCAAATTTTTCCATATTTTCACCTCTTTAATTTGAGAATATTTTCGTTTCAATGAAGCTTCCATTATCAAATGTAATATACAGAAATAGATAGAGAAATGAATCGATGATTTTCAATATATATTTTATTTGTTAATTTTAGGAAAATATTGAGCAGGTGAATGTACCTATTTTATTATAATAAATAAATTTAAAGAATTGAACGAGGGAAAAAAGGGAAAAAGAAGTTTTTTTTTGATCATCATTTAGAAACTTGATTATCATTTATATCTTGGTTTATTATTATTATTATTATTATTATCGGATCTTACAGAAATATACATATAAGCACATAATAAAAATAATCTAATATAATAAAAATATTATGCTATCTTCAAGCTTACATGTATTTTAATACTTATTTATATTAACTTATTTCATAATTTTTATATTTTGTCGTATTAAACATATAGTAGAAATAATGATTATTTTATCAAAGCTCGAATTCTTTTCTATAACGTGCATAACGTGGCTTAGGAACCTTAGAAACCTTAAAGAACCGGATTGATATTTTTGTTCTTGATTAATATCATCATGTGCGGCAATGATTTCAAGTTTACATTATCTTCTTCCTTTCGAGTAGTCGTTCGAAAATTTCTAATAATAGTTTCTTTTGACGGGCTTCATTTAATAATCGTTTTTCCCTTCAACATTTCATATTATTAGTTATATCTTTTTGGAATGATGTAAGCTTGTATCATTATTATAAGTAACAACATCAAATCCATAAAACGTTGAAGTTCATTCTTACTTATTTAATTCTTGCTGAAAAACGTGACAATGAATTCAAGTTATCATAAATGTCTTCTTCATCGTTTTCGATTGGAACATGAATTCTCACCATTGTTACCATTGTCAATACAATAATGGATTTTGTCGTCGTCGGTGAACGAGGCGGTCTTCATCGCTTGTGAAACGAGAGCTACCCATGTCGGAAAAATCATTGTTTCCGCATCCAGTTAGTTGATGGGAATTTCGTTATCAATGGAACGAAAAACGATTATCATTATCGTCGCTTAAGAAAACGAGAACTATTTGTGTTACTTCTATCGGAGTAATCATCGTCAGGTTTTTTATCATTAATCCATAAAATGATTGTACCGAACAATAAAGCAATAATATAATTTTAATTTCGAAAAACGACGTGGTGATGATGGTAATATTCGAATAATAATTTATGGACATCAACATTGTTATGTCTGTTGCAAAAGACTTTCTTCGGTAACTTTGGTATAATAACTTCCGCCATAAAGGATATAATCGCCAAGACGCGCTCTCCGCACCTACAAAATGTTTTTAGCTTTTGCATTTAACGAGTTCATGCTCAGAATGTTTTTTTTTTTTGATGTACATTTTACTAGTTTAATATGAAAACTTTGATTTTTTTTCGATTTTTTTAAAGTGGAAAAAGTAAGGGTGAAAAAGCGAATAAAAATTTGAGGTCTTGGCACATATATCTGTTTCTCGGTTACACGAGTAGTCAAATTCTCTTCATCCGAACCCAAAAACTCTTATCCTTCGTCAAAGTGATGCATATGAATTTAGCACAGTGTCAATAGTTGTAGTGTTAGTAGTTGTAAAATCAGTAGTTGTATTGGCAGATAGGTTATATGAAAAGTAAATTGGCTATATTCGATTTTCGCAATTCGGTTTCGTTGCACCACAACAACAGTGAAGATAAAAATCATTTATTAGTGCTTTTAGTGTCTTTGGTGTGGGGTTTATTCCCATTTACATATGCTATTTAATTTGAATTATTTGCTTCTATAAACTTGGGTCAAAAAAAAAAAATTGTACTATTTGTTATATTAACTGTAACAACAAAAAATAATATTGCATAATAAAAGACAGCTTCGAAATCAAATTTTTTATTAATATTTTTATTTATTTTCTACACTTTTTTTTTTGCATAGTTTTATTTTTTAATTTGTTCTGTTCTGTTCATAAAAACTGAGAAAATTTTTTTCCTTTTGACGTTCTGTTCTGTTGTACTAGATAATTCTGGGTTTTGAAATAAAGAAAATAGAGAAGAAAAATATGCATAAACAGATAAATCAAATATCCGGTTTTACTACGAATTTCGAGTTGAATTTTTTAATACTTGTGTTTTTTTTTTGGTAAATTTTAAATTTTAAATTTTTTTTATAAGCGCGAAAAAAGGTTATGCTTAATAATAATGGGGAGAATAGTCTATTTTTTAGGGGCTATGTATAAATTTTATTTTGTTATTGAGGAAATTTTTTTAAAGTGCATAAGGTGGAAAAGTGAAGTAATTTTAAAGTAGGGTTAGTAAAGTGATGTCTTGATAGATTGTCTATATAGAATTCTTTTTTGAAATTCTCTCTATATATAATATTTTTTTTAAAAAAAAGAAAAGCCGACGAAAAAAAAAAGGGATAACAGAAAAAAGAATTATCCGTATAACGAAACGTATTGTTTTTTTTTAAAAAAAAAAATAAAAAAAAAATGCGATTCCACGATCAAACAATAACTAAATAATCAACAAATCAATCGATCAAATTTCACGTCAACCAATTTTATGACAACGACGCAAATTTTTATTTTTCGTCATCATTGTCATAATTTTTTTCACTTATTGCTTTTCTCCATTTCATTACATTCCGTAAACCATACATTAATTCGGCTTGTTTGCGTGCTTCAACTGCAATAAGGGTTAAGTGACATTTCTCCTCTGTATGTTGGTAATTTACATTTTTCCAATCTTCCTCTGTTATAGATTCAGGCATAGTACATACCTAATTATTTTATTATTTCATAGTAATTATAATTAATAAGTGAAATAAAATGTATATAAAATAATAAAAATGATGAATCAAACCTTTTTTAGATAATTCTTAATATCATCATCAAGTGGTTGTTCGTCATCATTAATATAGTCCTCTTGTAAACCTAATAGTCTTTGTACATAGACCCAGATTTGATGACAAAGTGGTGATACATTGCTAATAAAATGACGAATTAACATAGTAATCATAAATGGTTATAAACACGTGAACGAAAAATAGTCTGTTGTTTAAAAATATTACTAACCTATAATCAGCCGTTATAATTTCAGAGAATTCTTGATCCAATAATTCGCCGACACTTGGTAAAAAATTATTCACCATTACAACTCCTTGATCGGCCCAACTATAATCTCGGAGCATAAGTGGTGCATATTCTTCAGAAAAGAATGAAAAGTCATCATATGTAATCTCAATTTCTGGAGGATCGAGATAAAGAGAAAAATCATTAGAACGTAAACTGACAGGAGTATTAGGTGGTTTTTCCGATGGTGATGACGGAGAAGAAGATTCTGACCCAGTCGTCTCATTTATTGACTTGTCGACAGTTTCTTCTGTGGTATCTGGGTTAATCTCATTTATTGGCTCATCGACAATTGCTTCTGTGGTATCTGTATTATTTAATGTGATTCCTATGCCTTTTGCTACCTCTTGTGAGGCTTGGTGTGAATTATCATGTAGTCCAAGAGAAGAACCTGTCGTTGTTTCCTCATCATTTTGATATCCACCTAAACAATCATATTCAGGAACGATACCACAACTAATTACAAAACTACTTAAACTATGAAATGTGCTAAGGATTGAGATAATATGAACAACTTCTGGAACAGCCCAATTATCAGGAGGATTTGGACCTCTAATAAGATCACCAATATGGCTTTTTTGAAGACGCCATGGTTGATGTGCTAAAATGCTATTTATTTGAGCAAGTTTTTTAATCTTTACTGGGACATTTTGTAATCCATCTAACCATTTAGCCTCGCCACCGTGAAGTAAAAATTCATTCTTAAGTTTTGAAATAAGATATTGAGATTTATGTTGAGATACGGCCTGTCCAAAAACATTCACACACAATTAGTAATCTTTATTTATTAAGAATAAAAAAAAAAAAAGATATAAATTAAGAATACCATAATTGCAATATAATATCTATCAGATTTTCTTAAAGGACCACCGGTTGATTCTATTATCGCAGAAAATGAACTTTGATACATTTTCATGAAACTTGGAAAATAAGATAATATTCTATAATAATGACTTAATCTTCCTTTATCAATAAAAGTATTAATCATTAATTCTCGAGCGGAAGCATCTGGCTGTCGTCCTACAATGGTGGAGGCATTTTCCGGAGGGGATAAAGTTGGTTGTGATACTTCATCCTCATCATTATCGGATGGAGATGGTTGTGATACTTCACCTTCATCATTACTGAATGAAGGAGTTCTGGAATGAGAAAGCCATTCTAATGTTAACGTATCTTCCGGTAGTATATATCTTGAAGGAGTAGGGTGAATTGGTATTGGAACGGAAACTCCTATTCTCTATAAAGAGAAAAAAATGATGTTTTCAAGGAAAAAAGAATAAATTTTCAAAGGTTAGTAAAAATGTATTATTGATAATATATAATTATATGTATGTATGTAGCGAGTTATTTATTTGGTGGTTGTTGCTTGGGCCGTCTCTATTATCAAACAATTCATAACAAGGTCGCAAATAAAGTCGCGTCATGGATATACATATATAAGAGATAATGAGGAAACGAAACAGCATTGGTGTATTTTCTCATTCAATATATAAATAATTTTTTTTTTTTTTTTTTTAAAAAAAAAAGAGTTTTTTTTCGATGAATGGGAGGACACGTCACACTGAATTAAAAATGATGGTGAATTAAACTTAATTGGTTTCTTTTTAAAATGTTTGAATAATTATCAAAAAAGAAAAGATGATGAAAAGAAAAGGAACATAAGTTTAAAAAAATATATAAATGACTTACTTTTAAGCATTCACAAAAGCCTCACCTAAAATGAAGAAAATTGTTACAAAAAACAGCAACGATATCAATAAAGAAAGAAAAAAAAGAAATTTAATATACAAGTGAACCATTACAATCTTTGACACACAAAACACGTGACAAAGAAGCAAGAAGAGTTTTCGGCAGAATGAATTAAGGAAGCAGCCTTTATTTTTCATTTGTACGGTGAAAACGACGACAAAGATGGAAAAAGGATTGTGTAGAAAGCGAGCAAACCACCAAAAAATAAATTTATAGAAAGTAAACAGATAATCGAAAGGAATTAAAAAAAATGAGCTCACCCTTAATTCTATTAAAAATTTTTGAAACACTTCACGAATGTCAGCAAGAGGACAATCGATGGACATGCGCAACATTGCTAAAATAAGTATTCTTAAAGTCTCTCCAGCGTTTTTATTAACATCCTCATCATCTTCAGAACTTCGACGACTTTCACGTATCTCTCCAGCGATTTTATTAACATTCTCAAGTAAAATTCGACGATTATTATCTTCAGAATTTCGACGACTATCACGTATCTCTCCAGCGTTTTCAATATCATTATTATTAACCACACTTAAAAGATCAGAGGGATTAACTTCATGAGCCGGATTGGGAGAAGTAACTGAGGAAGAAGTATCAGAAATATTATTAACGTTATTATTGACCAAATTAATAATATTATTAATGTTATTAATTTTACAAATATTATTAATGTTATAAATATTATTAATATTATTAATATTATTAACGTTATAAATATTATTAATAATATTATTATTAATGTTATTAATATTGAAAGATAATTCATTACCACCATCCAAGTTTGGCGTTGGTGAAGCAGCAGATGAAGCATTTGCTGATGCTGACCCATTACTGAGTAATGGAGATGATCTCTTTGAAGATAAAGGAGTAGTCGGATTATTATCACTACTAAAAGTTTGGGAAGTATTATTATCATCATCATTCGTAATAGTAGTATTATTATCTTCAATTGTTGTAGTTGTCACAGTTGTGGATCCAATTGTATTATCACCAATCTTTGTATTGTTAGGAGTTGATAATCCAGGAGGATAACATAATTTTACCAATTTGTTTACATCGCTTTCTATTTTTTTCAATTCCTTTGAACGTTTATTTTTATCTTCATTTAATAGTCCTTGAAAAAAAACAGTACTATATCGTAAAGTTCTGGCCCGAACATCACTTTGGGAAGCATCATCAATTTCTTGGCTCATTATATATGTATGATATTATTATATGTGTATGATATTATAATACGAGAAAAAAAAAATGATGAATAAGTTTAAAAAATTTTTTTTTCTTTAGAAAAATGTGCCAAATGTGTCAAAAAGAAGCAGCAGCATTAAGGACGGAAAAGGAGAAAAACAGAAGTCAATAAATAATAAAATTGAAATAAAAAAAAAAAGAAAAGGAATGAAATCGCTAAGAAACAAGATATGAAAAAAGAATTTGCAAGTATATCTTCTGCGGAACGAAAAGAAAAGAACTACTTGCAAAAAATGACACCATTCAAAAATTAGTAAGTATTTATAATTTTTTTAATATATACAATGAGGTCATTAAATATTAACTAGTTTAGTTTGTTTATTATATACAAGTATGACAATAAATAATTCTGTAAATAATTTATAATTTTTAAATAAAAAAATAAAATAAAAATGAACTCTACAAATACAACTAACGCAATATGCAGAAGCCGCGGGAATTGATTTTCGAGAAAAGGAAAATTTTTGTGTACAAATAAAATAAAAAAGTTATATTATTATTTTATATAATGAGGATATATTTTTTATGAATTTTTATGAGTAATTGTTTATAATATCAAACTAATACGGTTTTAATATAGTATTTTAAATATCGTATGTAACCGTGCTGTAATGTAAATAATTTATTAATACAATATTAGCTTAGTGTACAATTTTGATATATACAATTTCTTCGTTAAAAGAACTTTAAAGAACGCAAGGATCCGGATATGATTTGTAAAGAGATGACAGAAAATCAATATTAATTAATAATTTACAATGCGGCAATGTTTAAATAATTCGTCATATGAATTTTAAAATAGCAAAATAAAAATATTTTAAGGTAAAAATTTAGATTAATGTAAATTGTAATTTTTTTAAAAAAAAAAAAATAAATTATTCCATTACCATTAAAAATAATATAAGTAAATTTATATGTATATTTGATTGTTGTATGGTTGTTTAGGTTTTGTTATACTGTTTAGGTTATACTAAAAAAAAATTAGTCTACTTTTGCATATAAATACAATACACACTAAATGTTTATTTACAAAAGACAAAAGATATTCGCTAGTAGTACAATTACTTTAATTTTACTTAATTTTACTTAGATATACTTTTTTTTTATTATATTAAAATTTATGAATTTTATTATAAATATTTTATATTTTATAATATATTTAAATTTATAAAAAAAAAATAAAAATAAAAAAAAAATATGCATAAGAAAGTATGAATATGTAAATATAAATATTCAAATACATATCTGATTATCTTCTATAATAGTTTAAAGTTCATGTAAAATAATTTATTTTTTTTCGTACTTCCCACATTTAACATTTATTTATTTATTTAAATTTATTATTTTTTTTAATTATAAAAATAAATAAATGATAAATAATGTGTGTGTATGTTACCTCCTTTAAACATTTTGAATAATGAGACAAAAAATGAATCATTAAATCCTTTTACGGTAAATTCTTTTGCATTGTTCCACGTGTGTACGACAATCAAAGTTCTTGATGGGGACTAATTTTCGTTTAAATAAAAATAAATTCTTGTTATATATATTCATAAATAAAATATATATATATATATATATATATATATATAATTGATGGAACTTTTTCATTGCAAAAGTAAACTTCGTCGTTCGTTGTCATGCTCTTTTAAGATCTCATTCTTTCGTCTATTTATGCAAATTGATGCATTATGACTTATTATGCGCTTATTGTTTTCCACATAAAACAACAACAAAAACACTAAATTATACGAATTAGGATAGAAATTATTAAAATTAGTTTAATAAAATAATATTTTATCTGATATAACTTTAAAAGTTTAGACTATCGAGACAATATTTAAAATTTTAGAATATTAAGACAATTGATGTTATGACTTGATTGTATCGCGTATACACAAATCCAGAACAATTCTATCTAATTTTATTATTATTATTTTTTCATTCATTTATTATTATTTTTTTTATAAAATTTTATACATATATTATTATATATTATTATATATTATTATATATTTTTTATATATTATTATATATTATTTTATTTTTATTTTTATTATTATTATTATTATTTTTATTTTTATTAATAATCTTCTTAAATTAATTCTCTAAATCAAATCAATCATTTAGGGAGTGAACTTACAAATTCTTTGTACAAAAATAATAATTGGATACACGCGATATCTTATTTAATTTCTTTGTTTGAAACACGTTTCTTAAGGATAAAAGAATTAATAACAGATAAAAAAGATAATGTATTTTGTGATCGGGGGAACAATAATAAAGATTATCTACATTTACATTCCTTAATTAAATTATATTTTAATTACATCTTAAATTATATTTTTAAATAATATTTTTAAATTATATATTTTTTAAATTATATTTTTAAATTTAAATTATATATATTCTTTTAAATTATATTTTAATTTTCACATTTTCGGGAGATTTTATTTTTATTTTCCTAATGAATAAATATAGAAGAATAAAATAATATTTTAATGCACATAATATAAACCTACATATGCTTTCTCTTAGGGTCAAATCTCTCTAACTTAAAAAGTGGTTGTCAAATATATTTATATTTTTACATAATACAAAAGATCAAAGGTTATTATTTGATTTGGAAACAATGCGATTACTGTGATTACGCGTATTTATGCATTTCATGTATTAATAAATTTTATTTTATCAGATATATTGTTTATTATATTTGACATGTTGAATATTATTTGTCGCGCTTTTTTTTTTTTAATACCAATTGAAGGATTATTCCCTATTTATTTCTTATCATTCTTGTAATTCTTATAATTCTTGTTACATTTTGAGAGAAAATTCTATTCATGTAAACAAATAAATTATTATGTCATATTGCACATAATATTAACCCCCATATTATTTTGATTTTGATTTTCAATTTTTTTACCACAAAGAAAAAAAAAAAGAAGAAAAATCCCTTCTAAACATTTGTTATTACATTATTATATTATTGTATCTAAATATTAAATCTGGTGATCAATACTGGTTAAAGCTCTATTAAAGGAAAATAAAAAAATTTTGATTTGGTAAGATTTTTACGCGGTAACTTATTACTTTTTATTATAGTTTGATAACTATTTTTAAAAAAAATGTGAATTTGTAATTTTGCATTTTTTTTTCTCTCTTTCATTTGATTTTTTTATACACATTATTAAACAAATTGCATTTGTGTGGTATATGTATATGTATTATTAATAACAATATTACACATATTACATCGAAAAATCGAATTTATCATTTTTTTTTGTGTGTGTTCTTTCAATGGAATTTATTATTAAATATCAGTCATTATCTTTAAAATCATCTTCAACTATATGCAAATTTTTTATTGTCGAATCGAGTCAAGTCAAAAGAAAAGAGTTTTTTTCTTGTATGATGTAATCTTTATAATAAAAATATGCATCTGTCAAATTTTTTTAAATCATTTTCAGTTGCTTTTCAGTTGCTTTTCGGTTGCTTTTCGGTTGCTTTTCAGTTGCACCATTTTTTTTTTAATAGAAAACATGGGTAACATGCGTAAAATATATAATAATAAAAAAAAAAATAGATAAAAGGGTGAATAAAAATTCTCCACAAATTAGATAATTGGAGAGAAAACTTCTTTTACTTAGTCATAAATATGTAGAAAATTAAAAAATAGAAATAAATTCTTTAATTAATATATATAATTAGATAAGCTGTTATTGAGAGTTATGAAACTATAAAAAAATTCTATATAGAAAACTGTATATTGTATAAATAATTTGTTATAATTATAATTAATTACAATATAAATAAATTCCCATCCGACACTTTATTTTCGTAAATCAGGGACCTGCAATCTACTCTGCTTAGCCGCCTTCCTATTTGCGTTACTATTTAAGTTTTAATTAAAGATTTTTTAAACTAGGAATCTCTTCTCTCTAAATTCTTTTTTTTTTTTGGCCTGGGTACCCTCTTATTATCTACAACATACAGAACATAACATAAAGCAACATAAAACAATATACATAATGACATAAAACGTACAGTTAATAACTTAAATATAATTTTATTTGGACTTACCCATGAATTCTTTGGTCGTACATCTAATTTATTTTATTCCACTTTTTTTGATATATCGAATTTGGAGTGACACTGTATATATTTTATTTGATGTCAGCGTGTTATATGTGTTGATGTGCGTTGTATGTTTATGTTTCATATGTGTGTTGTTGTCGTGCTAAATTTTTTAGGTTTTTTTTCCATTTCCCTCCATTAACATCATCACCCATTCATTTCACACGATGCACGGATCAGTGTTTAATAAGTTTGGTTAACTTATTAATCTGTAAAAGTTATTATTATATTGTAACAATATTTTTAAAACTAATTTTTTTTTTTTTTTTTACATGTTAGATATGTTAGATCGGATATTTTTACCTATAACATCCTTTAATATAAATAACATAAATTGATCTCTTATTTATTATTTATTATTTATTTGCAATTATTTAATTGTAACATTAAATTGAAATTTCAGGAATTTCAGGAATTTCAGGAATTTCAGGAATTTAGGGAACTTCATTTGTACTCTTATAAATTCTTGTGTAAAAAAACTTTGTAGAACTTTGAATGAAAGTGTGAGTGTATATGTATGTTGTGTGTAAGGGTGTCAGTCTAAATCTCTTTCTTTTGGAATTACTGTTTTCCCCCAGTATAATTTTTTTTTGTAACATCTCAAGAATACACAAAAATAACAAGAGATGATCTTCAAAAAATTCGGCGTCCTCTCTCTCGTTCTTTTGAACATCAAAAATATAATAATAACCTTGTTTTCACAATTTAAATTTTATTATTTGTATACAAGTACCTTTTTTAACCTATTCAGTATTAGATAATGTGAAAATCATAATGTTTGATTCGAAGATGCATTTAAATTTATCTTTTTACGGTGTCTTTCTAATAATTTATTACATAAATACATTTTATATTGTTTTTATACAGCGGTTTTCTTTGACAACAAATTTTACAAATTCTATAAATTATACAATTCCTTAAAAAACATTAATTAATCAACATTTCTTACTGCACGGCATTGTTCATAAGTAACTACTGTGTAATAATAAGTAAGACCCGAGGCCCCTCTAGCTCCACATTTCCCCATTCTTTTCATATTACAGAAAAAAAACAATCCATTTAAAGGATTGTCCGAAATAATAATAATAATAATAATAACTGTACAATGACATGACATATTACATATATATGTCGATAAATATGTTTTCTTTCCTAAATTAATCTCCAGCCAAGAAAAGAAAGTCATTTTTATTTGGAATATTCTATGCAAGTTGAGATATATTCTCAAAAAATCATGACACTTTCAATTGTATACATAACAACTTCCCAAAATTAAAAATTCAAAACCTCAAAATATTTTGAAAAGAACAATCTCTTATACAGCAATGACTTAGTATGATTGTTGTTTTGTTCTTTTTTTTTTTTTTAATTCCTTTCACAATCGATTTGACATGTGTGAATTGTTTATAATACATAAAATAATTTCCAAATTTAAAAAAAAAATCAAAATTTAGATATTTAGCTTGACTTCTCTGTACTTATTTAGTCTCTAGATTTTCTTTTTTTTAAAAAAAAAAATTCTTAATCGTTTCACTCTAGAAAAAAAAAATTATATATCTTTTCTCTTCTTTTTTGCTATTGATTCATTGCTTAATCCCTCAAACAAGCAGTAATGATTTCAACGTATCCATTAGTTCTAGAAAACTTTTTCACAACAACAAATTTCACTTTTTCTTATACAAATTGTGTGAATAGTTTATGATGACATTTTCAATTGATTAAAATATATCCAACTATTGTACAAACAGCAATAACTCAATATAATTATCCTTATTTCAAAACCATTAATTCTTTGTATCAATTCCCTATTATTTCCTATTTCTTTCTCCCTTAATACTATTAGGTTGTGGGATATTAATGATATTTTACTTTATTTAATATAATTTAATATTTACATGTGGATATAAAAATTTCAATCTATAAAAAAAATTATGAATTTTTTTTTATTGATCCTGGTGTTTACGTTAAGTTCTCCATTTACTTAGTATTCTTTTTTTTTCTTTATAGATAAAATAAAACCCAATATTTAAATCTGTTTAACAAATTTAAAATACATATTAAAACGATTATTTAAAGGAATTTAAATTAATAATTTCCATTTTAAAATATAAAAACAAAATATTATTTCTTCAAAAAATAAATTATTAATTTGTTTACTGAGACTTAAATATTTAGAGGACTACTGATTTTACGAAAAAATTAAATCTAATGTGACAATGGACCAAATGTTGTTCTTTCATTGTTGCTATATCTGTTCCCTTTAACTCCGATTACAATAACAGAAGCGTAATTGTAACAAAGAATATGGCTAATGCAATGCATTGTGTTCGTCTTTTATAGGCTAAATTGCTTTGCACGGCATGAAAAATACAGTCTTTCATAAACAATGATAATGTACAAATTTTTTCTTATCCAAGGTTTTCAAAAACGCTATAAATTATCACAAATTTGTTTTTTTTTTTTTTTTTTTTGAATTTCATTTTAATTTTATTTTTGAAATGTATCTAATTAGAAAGAAAAAAGAAAAGAAAAAAGAAAAGAAATTGAGTAAGAGTGTTGAAGTCGCAGGGGTTCCTGATACTAAAGGAAATCATGAAATATCCCAAACTACGTTGAATGTTGTGAGTGCTATTGGAGAACCTTTTGTGCCATTGATTGGTGCTGTAACTATCGTGATTTCAGAAATTATTAAAGTCTATGAAACTGTCCAGTATAATAAGAAGATCTGTAATTCACTTATGGATCGTGTAAATAATGCTGAGGCAGCCGTCAAAACTTTTGAAAGAAGACAAACTGAAAATAAAGATCTTAGTAAACAAGAATATTATAATTCGTTTGTTCGTTTCGTTGAAATCATGAATCGAATTAAAAAATTTATCGGTGATGTATCGAACTTAAACAAATACCAAAAATTCATACGTTCCGGTTCAGTTAAAAGTGGATTTGATTCACTTGTTAAAGACTTTGATGAAGTAATGACTGGATTGCATTTTACAATGGCCGTTGCTAATGAAGAACAAAGAAGGATAGATCAAATTGCTCTCGAATCTGATAATGCAGAAATGACTGAGGTAATTCACATCTCAATTTAATTTTAGAATATTAAACTTCTTTTTTTTTCTAATCATCTAAATTCTTTAGTTTTTGAAAAGAATAGAAGGTGGCATAATTGACCAAGATCAAAAAATAAATATTGTGATTAATGAATTGTCAATAATGAAAGAAAAATTGGATCATTCAGATAGTTTTGATAATAATATTAAAAATATTAAAGCAGATGAAATAAAATCAACTGATTTAGTGGATCCTAATGTGCCAAGAGAAACGGATCGCCGAGGAAAAAATCGTCAGGTTATCAAAAAAATGTATAAAAGTATTGAGGTTGCCTGCAAGCCAATTAATCTTCAAAATAGTGACCCTAAAGAAGCTGCAAAAATTCAAGGACTTCTGGCTATATTAGGAAAATTACACGAATCACTCAACGTTATTAGATTTTATGGTCTTTCATATACAGAAAACTCAAACGTTATGGTATTTGAATGGGCTCTCTCAGAGAATAGTATTGTAAATATGACATTGCATGGCATGTAAAGTACAAATAGCTCTTGATATTTGTCGTGGCCTTACATTTTTACATTCTTGTGACATTCTTCACGATATTCGATGTGCTCATATATTGGTAAGATTTAATAACTTTACTAATAATATATATATCTATCTATCTATCTATTAATAAGTTCCATTTGAATTTTTTATTTCTATTTATAATAGATGACTACAGAATTGGTACCAAAAATTGCAAAATTTAATTATTCTCGTATGGCATATGGTCCAACCACAGACATGAAGGGTGTAACAGATATTATACGTTGGATGGCTCCTGAAAAATTGCGTGATTCTGAAAAAAAACATGTTCCTTATACTTTCAAATGTGAGATTTTCAGGTAATAATTACAGTTATGGTAATCTCTTGATTTATTTGTTTGTCGGATTATTTTGTTTATACTGTTTCTTATATTATAATATTTAGCTTTGGTATGTTACTCTGGGAACTTGTTTTCGAAAAAATTCCATACGAAAAATGGAATATAATGCAGATTAAAAAACATGTATTAGATGGTAACAGAGAAAAAATCACATGGGGAAAGGCTTCATCAAATGTTGAAAAAATTCAAAAAGACTTGACGAAAATCATTGTGTCTGGTAAACTATTTTATTGTTATTACTATTTGTTTTATTAACTTTTTTGTTTTTTAAAAAAAATTTTTACATCATTATATATTTTATATGAAAAGCCTGGCAACACAACCCAGCAATTCGAGCATCTCTTCAAGGTATTTTTATGAAGTTGGATAAACTAAATGGTAAACATTGCACCGGCAAAGAAACTGTAGCTAAACTTTTACCTGATAAGGAATTAGATTTAGATGGATCTTTATCTCATGCAGCTTTGTCTCATACAGTTTCTATTAGCGATGATTTTTATTTACCGGACATGGACATGGATGATTTTAATGTTGATGAAATATTACAAATAATTCCTCTCGAAGAAGGTATTGCAGCACATAGGAATAAAGAATATGCAAAAGCTTGGAAATGTTTTTCAGCGCATGCAGATTTAAAAAATTCAACTGCAAAGTATTGGAAAGGATATTACTTGTGGGAAGGAATTGAAGTTAAGGAAGATCATAAAAAGGCTAGTGAATTGTTTAAAGAAGCAGCTGATGATGAAATCCCGGATGCTCAATTACGTTATGCAATTTCATTAGTCAATAATCCACTAGTAAAATTTGATTCTGAAATATTTTTAAAATATATAACTAAAGCTGCAGATAATAATAATCCCACTGCACAATATAACTTGGGGGATGTGTATTTTCATGGTAAACTTAATCAAGATAAGAATGAAAAATTAGGCATAAAATATTTAAAATTGGCAGCTCTCAATGATCAACCTAAAGCTAAAAAGCTTTTACAAGAATTGGGGATTAATGGATACTGATATTAATTTTTTTTTTTAAAAGAAAAGATGGGGATCTACGGTTGGGCTGTTTTTTTTATTTTGGAATCCAACTTCCCTCAAATTAAAGTATAATTTCTTAAAATAAATAAGAAACTATGTTTTTTGGATTTCGTTAATAAACATTGTATTATACATAAAATAGCATTTTCTGACTTACCATTACAACTGTTTCAAAGTAGCATGCACACTTGTGTATTTTCTCATTCTCAATTTAGAAGTTTTAATTTTGAATCTTTATTTGTGATTTTGGCTAGCAAAATTAAAGCTCCTCTCAGAGAAATATGCTTAGAAATATAGTGCTTGACTTAAATAAAAAAATTCAAGAATAATTAGTAATTTTCCCTGTTATTTATGATGAATAAAAAATGTAGCATTTAAATTTTTAAATTTTTTTCTGGATCAATGGTAAATTAGTCTTTTATATATAATATCATCAATTCCCCTATTCCTTTCTCCCTTAATACTCTTTTGTATATTATTTAAGTTATAATATTTCAACAATTAATATATCATTTGATTCATTAAATAATAAGATATTTCATTCAAACAAATAGATATTGATATAATTTAATATTTACATGTAGATATAATTTCAACAAATAAATTATTCATGCTAT